TCTGGTGGCAGGTTGTTAGCACAGATAAATCAGCACTAGTCACACATAGCAAATGGGCCAAGATGATGGGACTGAGTGTCACTATGTTATTCCAAGACAGATTACAATACAGAGAGGCCAGCAGCCCACAGTTTGAATGGAGGCACTGAACATTGAATTGACAGTCCAGCCTGCTGGAAATAAGTTTAAGGAAAAAGGTTCAAACAGTCATAGTTAATTTCAAACACTGGGAGCTATGAGAGAGTACCTACACTTTCAAGCTTTGTGTATTGTTGTTCCAGCATTGCACTGTCTAGAGCTGATGAACTGTCTCTTCAGTGTTGGATATGCCTTGTTTTAAGCACTGGAAGTGGTTGGCATGGCAGATTGATTTGCGGTGTGCTTGCAAATCCAGGTTGTATGACAGGCTACTCTCATGGTTGATTTTACGGAAGAAGTGCAGTGAACCACATGAAATATTTACTCTTCCTCTCTTCTGTTTTGACATGGTTGAGCTTTTTCTTCTACCAATTTTTGAAATGTTTCCTTTGTTTTGTACATTTTTATTATTATCGTCTGTTGCCTTTTTTTCTTTTAAACCACAAAGAAATAGGACAACAGACCACACTGGTGTTTTAAAAAATAGTAATACACGTCGACAGGAAATTGACTGTGTGCTACACTCTAAGATGAAGGCCACGAACTACGATCATTATTAAATGTGCCAGAAATTTAAAAGAATGCAGGTTTCACAAGTTGCTGTGAGGCACAATTATCCAACAGTTCCAGGGTAATGGTAAACACTGCCCCTCAACGTGATGAAATGAAAGCAGTGGAGACAGAGAGACCCGCCCTGGGTCAGCAGCCTGTCGCTTGATTTCCACACTTTGGCTTTGCTTCAACTAGGAATTAAGCAGGCGGTATCAGGGTCTAGAAGGCTGCAGCCCTGGGATTTTAGATCAAACCTTCTTTGTTGTGCTTTCACGGAAAAACAATGAGGGGAAAACAAAAACTGGCACATTAGTACTTCTAAAATGATATCAGCAAAGAGGTTTAGGTAATGTAACATCTTATTATGGATGATTTAATCTAACAATTTATCTGATTCAATTCTACAGTGTGAATTCAAGGATCAAAACTGATTCTTGCAAAGAGCATATGTAAATTGATAAAACATCTAAACTTACTGTAATTTAGTCAGCAATAACTCTCTTCTTAAAGGGAAATTTCGGTTTATTTCAACCTGTCTCCTATCATCCTAAATTTGTTTCAAGTCACTAGTGACATAGAAATAATAGTTAGCATGTTAGCCGTTAGCCTAGATACAGCCGTAGCATCAGACCTGTTAAAACGTAATTGAACGGGCATCCTTTCAAGTGCAAAGTTAGTCCACTAAACAAGCTTTTTCTCCACAAAGACCGCCTCATATCCTTAGGATAAATGTCAGAGAACATATAGAAAACGACATGTAAATGTGTTGTCTTACCTTACCGGTGTGCTGCCATGTTTGTTGTTTACCATTTAGCTAAGGCTGCAACCGGTCCCATTCCTTGCAACAGAGGTATTCCTCTTCTGTGGGCATTGGGGTACAGCATTCACAGGTAACTTTATACCATCTATCTCCAGAGCTAAATCCTTCCAGCAGCCATTCCTCCTCTGTCGTCCTCTAACGTTACCTGTTGTGCCTCTCTCTCTCTCCTCCTCCGTTCTTCAATTTCACGAAGCTCTTCATCAGTGTATTCTGGCTCAAATAAATAAGGGCGGCCATCGACTCTCAATGTGGAAAGCCTATAAACTAACATTCCACATTTAGGTGGTCTTCAGAGTTGTCTTACCTTACGGTGTGTTTACCATTTACCTCTGCTTCCCAAAGCGCGGCCGAAATATCGCAAGAACAAGCAGCGATCTCATACCGTGCCTGAAATCTCGCGAGAACAAGCAGCAACAGCTGCAAGGCAGAACTGGACAGTAGCCTGAAAAGTTCATTCATTTATTTTATGAAAGATTTATAGAATAATGGCTGACTTTTTGCCAGACTTCGACTTTGTGGAGGAGGAATTTGATTTTGCTGAGTTTGATGGCCGCCCTTATTTATTTGAGCCAGAATACACTGACGAAGAGCTTTGTGAAATTGAAGAACGGAGGAGGAGAGAGAGAGAGAGGCACAACAGGTAGAGGACGACAGAGGAAGAATGGCTGCTGGAAGGCTTTAGCTCTGGAGATTGGTGGTGTACCTGTGAATGCTGTGCCCCAGTGCCCACAGAAGAGGAATATCTCTGTTGCAAGGAATGGGACCGGTTGCAGCCTTAGCTAAATTTAACCTAACACTATAGCACTATCAGCATGGGACTGGAATTGCCTGGGGACCTCTAATCTGTAATAATATTAGAGGCGTGATCTTAATCCCATGCAAATATGCTATAGTACTATTCAGACGGGATTAGTTTTGCATAGGGATGTGGACTAATGTCAGTTTACCACAGGATGTCTGTAATATAAATGTGCAATTCGCACTGGACAAGAAATCTCCGTAATTCTACCAGAGATGGGAGTGGTAACTGGTTTGCACCCTGGCGTCACCTCTCTGTTGGCATGTGCGTGCTACGTTGCTTCCTAGAAGCATCAGATGAAGGATTATAATAATTAGTGATTAGCCCAATATGAAATATTGCTATGATCAGGACTGTCTGTACAACGATAAGCAATATGGATTTATATTAGGCCTACCTAACACAACCAGAAGTCTTGTGGCTCTGAAAAGTGCTTTCTTTTCAACCTTTTTCATTGTTCTCCCACGTAGGCTATGCGATCATTAGAAGAATGTCCACTATCACGACTGCCGACAACACCGAATGTTTCTTCAAGCACCTCCATCATTGAAAAAACGCGGAAAACTAGTTGTAAACATGGAAAAATGGTTGTAAACAGGACGTGACGAAATATTAACATACATTTTTACAGAGGATTGTGTTCGCACAGGATTAATATTACCCGAGGTATTTTCTCCGGATCGTTTTACAGAAGGTAAAAGTCGTTGTAATTTTTACTGACATTATCTGTAATGATTACAGACATGATGCACTTGGGCGGGCCTAAAATCCCTGGTAATAATTACTTTACCCTACCCTGGAAATCCAGAGTTCTCGCTAGAGCACAATTTGAATTTGCTCAGTGAGTCACTCTGGCAATCAGTAATGATGCTCATTAACCATGCCCTTGTAGCCGAGCTGCACCAATCACATCGGTGTATCTGATATAGGTGGGCCAGAGGCGAGCTAAACAGATGACGACAGCGCTGCGACGACAAAGTCCGGAATCAGTCAGTAAACATTGCAAGATGGCTACGGATGAACACCAGTTGTTTGAAACGGCTTTGGCAGCTACAATGAACGAGTTGGACTTGGCTTTTTCTCTAAAAGAGGAACAGAAGATGGCGCTCGAGTCTTTCCTTTGCAAGAAGGACTTTTTTGCTGTTTTGCCGACCGGATAGGGCAAGAGTCTAATCTACCAGTTAGCTCTGCTGGTAGCGCTCTGGATACGTCACCCTGTGTATTGTTCTGATTGGTCGTAGTGTTATCTAATTGCGTGCAGTGATATTTACAAATGCATGCTTGGTGCCACCCCTCGAGTTGGGCCATTTTCATTACTCATGGCCAGACCCCAAATCTTTCTAGATTTGGGTCTGGATTTCCAGGCTAACTTTACCCCATGTCTCCATGTTAAACTAATCCCGTCCAAATAGGGCTTATGTCTGTGATTTTTTAAGTCAAAATTCCACCACAAATTACTTACCATATTTCGCCAAATATAGAGGTCATGGGATAATATCAGTCCTCATGTGAATCTGCATCTCAGTGATTTGGAATCATATTTATTCTTTTTGTTTTCACCATGCCTTTTTTGCCTCTGTCCAAGTCGAGAATTACAGAGGCTGCATTAGCAATTACAAATGAAAGTTTTAACAGCATTTTGGGTGCAGGTTGCTTATTTTGCTTCATGGCGTGGAGAGCAGAAAGAGCAAGCTCAAATGCATGTGAAATCTTGAGAGCTGATAAGATGGATGACATTTGACAGTGTGTGGCAGAATTGGTTCTGTTTGTTTAACCCAAGAATTTTTATTTTTATTTGAAGAATATAAAATTTAAAAAAGGGGCTAACACAGTGGGAAGCGCGGTGGTGTGGCAGTTAGCACTGTCGCCTCACAGCAAGAAGGTTCCTAGTTCAACCCTTATGTGAGCCCTTATGTGTGGAGTTTGCATGTTCTCCCTGTGTCAGCGTGGGTTTTCTCCAGGTACTCCAGCTTCCTCCCACAGTCCAAAGACACGCAGTTTAATAGGTGACTCTAAATTGTCCGTAGGTGTGAAGGTGAATGTGAATGGTTGTCTGTCTCTATGTGTCAGCCCTGTTATGGATGGATGGATGGATGGATGGATGGTTAACACAGTACATCACCACTAGTAGTGCTGTGTTATGTAGTGGAGTTAAAAAACTGTTGCAGGGATATTGTCAGTAAATTTGAGTGAAACACAGACTTTGTTTGTCCTGTGTGAATGCCGCGCACAAAAAACATAGACGTGACAGGATCATCTCTATATCACATGAGGTACTCTGGTAATACTAGTCCCATGGGAATAGGGGTTTAAGACACCAGGTAAAAGTATGACCATGTTAACAAGATCATTTTAACTACCTATAGGGTTTCCTTTAGCGTTGCACCTATTTGTCATCTGAACATTGATATACGCCTTGTTGACTGCCATCAGCCCATCTGCAAATAAGATGACATTCACCAATGGCAGTGGCCAGTGTTTTTTGGTTGTGGCACAACAGAGATCTCCCCTGGGAAACAGTTGTGACGGAAAAATGTACTGAACTCACTATTAATATGCTACAGTATATCCATGATGATGATAATCAGTAGAAGGACAAGAAGCAGTAAACACATCTTCATCATCTTCAATACACGACTAATTATATTTGACGTTATTGCTGAGACAGATTGTCTTTGTGTTGTGTTCCAGATCTCAGTGCTTTCAGCACGAAGACCAGAGGTGGGGTCTCTGTACGTGAAGGCCAAGGTGTGGTGCTCATGTGTACCCCTCCCCCTCATTCTCTGGGTAAGAAGTCAGACCTTCAGTCACAGCAAGGAGGGGAAAAAAATTCTCCTCCTCACTACATTTGAAATCGTCAATAAACTCATCACTATTCATCAGGATTCCTATGACAACAATAAATGCTATTACTGTGCCAAGGTGAATGATTGTTTTCATTATTTATTTTTTTATTTATTACATTACGTTTTGATGGTTAGTTTTTGTACCCGTCCGCTCTCCTCTCCATCCATCCATGCTATGAGTGCAAATGATGAGTGCGATAAGTTATGGCGACAACAGAGCCAGAGCACAGATTCTCTCAGATCAAATTTGCTGGATCATTAGAAATGAAAAGAAATGTTACACAGCCAATTATTCCACATAGGCCGAGCATAGGAGCCGCTCTTTAATGTCCTATCTTGAATATCCCTCTCTGCAGTTGTCCTCTAATGTAAGCTCTTATGTGAGCCATGAATCATCCAGGCTTTCTGTTTGCATCAGCTCCGTCGTACCGCTGCACTGCACCCGTGGGAATGTTTGCCAAGTGCTCTTCAGCTCCCATTTTTGGATGCCATTTTGAATGACACGATAGCGACCAGATGCTTAATGACTGATGGATTGAAGTGTAGTGAAGATGATTCTCATCCTTAAAATTCCCCATCAATCACAGCACAGGTGTTGCTCCAGGTGTATGCCATTTTCACACTGCATCTACAGGTCAGACCTCACTAAATTTTATTTTCCCACTGTAAACAAGGTTTTCTCTTAAAGTGTGACTGACATTAAATTAGGAGTAAACACTGGAGATGATGTTATGGTGTGAGATCAGTAATGGACACAGTGATTTTCTGTCATTTAAGGTTTGTTACAGTCTTGCTGCTGTAAGCTATAAAATTGACACAGGTTTCAGTCATGATGACATTCTGTAAGAGCCTCATGTTACACAGCTTGTATTAGATTGACCGACTGGATCAATACAGAATATGCTATTTAAATAATCAGTCAACCGCTAAAAGTGCAATTTAAAATAATGAGATTTTACATCAGATATCATCAAATAACCTCAATATCAGAAATCTAGTGTGGTGAATCAGTGAGTCATTTTAATACTTTAATCCTTGCAGTCATGTTTTATTGTCTGAATGAAGTCACTGAAGTAATTGCTACACAGGTTGTTAAATCAGCATTTATGAACCAAAGACGGTAAACAAATAAGAAAAGATATAAAAGATCAGATCTACAAAGCGACACTTACGCCACTCAAAGCCCTCAATAACTGAAATACATTGAATATTACTGCCATGAAATAACATTATGACTGTTATCAAAGGTTTTCTAAATCTTTCCACTGTGTTTTTGTGATAAAAAGTGTTTAAAGTGTAACTACAGTGCAATAAAGAGTACTTGATGAGTCAACCTTTTCTATTATTGTTGTAAGAAATTGCTTATTTGTATTTTACAAGCTTAAAAGGTCCCTCAACTAAAACTATAAAAAAAAGGTGCCTCTTAGCTTTTACAGCCTTAATATTTAGTTTTGGCTATATTGATCTATACAAACAGGGGTCTTAAAATAACCCTGTATAACTTCAACAATGAAAGTCAACAATGCTCAGAGGAGTAGTATGTAAGATTGAGGGCAGTGGTTCCCAACTTGTCCTGCCATGGGGTCCAGATTTCTCCATTGTCATTAGTTCAAAGTCCAAACAGTTTAATGCACTCAGTGTCATACTTGCATTTGGCCATGTCGTCAAGCCAGTTTGCTGTCTCTCTCAAGTAGCTGTCTATTAGTCACTCACTCCACAGCAGGAAGTGGCACTTCAAAATAAAAGCTATGTGCTGGAAACGCAGTGTACTTAGAAAATATGAATTGTGTTTTTTACAAACATGACACGTTCCATGCAGGATGGACTCACGACCCACTTTTGGACCGCGACCCACCAGTTGGGAACCACTGATTTAGGGGGATTTAGTGGCATCCAGCAGTGAGGATTGCTGATTGCAACAATGGAACTTCTCCTGGTTAAAATTCCTTCAGTGTTTATGGCTTAGGAGGTTCTTACCGGGGGCCAACTTATCCACAGGGTTAATTCCTCTCAGAACATGGTGATCTCCATAGACAAGGAGCTGCTCCCTTTGTAGATATAAATGGCTCATTCTAAAGTAACGAAAACACAATTCTTATTTTCAGTTGATTATACACCAAAAAAAACATATTTATGATATGTAATATTCCTTTAATGCCCAACACTGTACCTTTAAGCCATCTTCGTCACTTATAGATTATTAGGTTGTTAGTAGTATTTACATCTTAGACTCTTGTAAATGTCAGGCCAGCCTCAACAGGCTGCTGAGCCTTTATTTTGATGCCTATTTTTCACATTTACAGTATATCTTTAAATACACAATACAGGTAAGACTATAATGTATTTGTTCAACAATGGTGACATGAAATGAAAAATGATCTCCAGCAGCTAAAATAATTTCAAAAAATGCCACAGCCATAAAATTTGCTGGTGTGATGAATGCCCTGGCGAGTCAGAGCGTGTCACAACTGAAATTCACACAGCATAGGGAGTGTTAAACAATGTTTGGGTTAAATTGGTTGTGGGAGGATTCAGAGACATTAAAAATGCCACTGAAATTAGATAGATCTCATGAGTGAAAATAATTTGGAATCAGTGAGATGTGAAAAGTTTATTATTTTCCATTTCATGGCTTTGAGCGCTCGTGGTCAGTTTTATGTGCGTCTTTGGTAAACAGTGTTTTATGAGGCTAAATTAGTTTGAATAAAACCTATTGGCATTGTCAGCTAAAACACAAACTGTACTCTTGGAAACAGAGAACTTAATGCTCAATATATATCGCTGCCTTGAAGTTTAATACAGCATAAATAACAACTATATTTTGCTACAAAGAATTAGAACTATCAGACATTACAGCTGTGTTCCTCCATGTACGCTTCCCTCTTGTTATCACACAGTCCTCTCAGTTAATTAAGCAAATGATGCTGACTTTGCAAATAAAAACATTGACATGCAGTATTCCAAAGTGTGATTCAGCTCTCTACCTCATTGTACCACCTACTAGTTTTAAGCTGACTTTGAGTGCTGAATTGAGGGTTGTTGGTTTTTTTTGTTTTTTTTTCCAGATCTGAACGTCTTTAAAACAGCAATTATTGCTGTCTGTTTTTCTCCAGAACAGACAGATTATGGATGCAGAATCACCGATAGGGTTGAGTCAAGTGCTCAGAGCACTCCGAGTATCTGGTACAGATAATGTACATATTACAAGTACGAATATCATCCAAGTAAAATGTGTCAATATCCGTACTTAAGATGAAGGAAAAAATCGTCTGAAGCTCAATGCTGAGGCTGTAAATATTTTTAGGAAAAAAATAGGATAAATATAGCAACTTTCGATCAACCCATCAATATGAGGTTTTTAAAAAAAAAACAGCTTCTGGTTTGGCCCCACCCAGCATATATTAATAGTATATTAATTTGTCGCTGAGTTTGACAGTTTTGTTTTTAATATAATGATGGATGTGGCTGCCTAGAACTATTCACAATAAACACAAAGCAAACAGCATGCTGTGAGAATCTGCGTTATGTTCATCATAATCATATTCCTTCCATCCATCCATCCATCCATCCATCCTTTTTTTCCTATTCAGCGTCACTTTGCAGATTTTTTGCAAACCCACATTTTGTTTGCAACTGTGCAATTTATTTTTTCTTTCTTATCATCTTAATTTGTGTATCAGCATGCATTAAGTAAAGAATAATAAATACACAAACACATCTGTGTTGCCAAGTCTACCAGGAATCAAGACTTTATATTCTACACCAACACAATCTGTTATTCATAAATAAAGTATAAAATATTAAACAGAGATGCAAACACTTTAATAAGTTGTCAAAGTTTATTAGCTATAAAGTCAGAAAAACTCCTTTCTCTGCCCTGTGTTTTTGTTTTGGCCAGATTATACCAAGTTAAGAGACGACTCCGTCTGTCGTTTAATGACCCTTCACACACACATACACACACACAGCCAAACTTACTGGGATCAATCCACCCTGGAATCTCACTTATCATTTGCCAGTTTTACCTTTCTGATGGTATCACCAATTAATTAAAATAACCTCACCGCAAATAACAGGCTCATTAAGGCCCTGTATAATTGTTATTTTTTCACCTTCAGGGGCCTGGATATTATTTTTCTAGACTTTGGATAGACTAGCAGTCATTTTATCCTGATGAGCAGGCTGATCCTTTGTTGCCGTACAAATCCCATACTCATTACTTCTTTAAATTATTATTCATAAGTTTTGAGCAGTGATTAAGAATGCTGTGCTAAATTATCAGCGGTTCTTTTTTTTGTTTTTTTTGGTGTGTATGTGTGTGTGTGTGTGTGTGTGTGTTAGTTGTCTGACATGGGTTGAAACAGTATAAGGAGTATTTTACTGAAATGAGTGTCACAAACCTTAACTATATTTTAGATTATAACCAACATAGTCAACATGTCAGATCAGGTGCACTTTTATTTTTTTTTTATTTTATCTTATTTATTTTGTTTCATTTTATTTTATTTTATTTTATTTTATCTTATTTTATTTTGTTTTATTTTATTTTATTCTGCAGTGAAGTCTTGCTCCGTAATGCAATGAGTTTATACCATCTATTATTACTCTACATGGGTTGAACATTTAGACTATTGATAGCTTTAAAAGGAGAGGCTGAGACTAAAACGACAGTTTTGTTGCTGTTAATTTTTAATGTCAAGGCTTACAGAATATTTTGGAATCACTGGAAAAACATATGCTTTTAACTGCTACTCTTTCATGCACAGTATTTTGAATGAGTGCATAGAGAATAACAAACATATTGGAACCTTACAATTGGAATCAATACTGATGAATCATGTGCACTGTAACATAATATATTTATATATACTTATTTCATATGGGTGTTTTTTTATGAAGTTACTTTTCTATATGATTCTTTGTGAATTTCTAATGTTATTGATTATTTCTGATGAATGTGCTGGTCTTGGAGATGCTGGTGCTTTGTTGGAGTTAACCTGATTGTGTGCACACACACTTCAATGGCTGCACCTGTGACAATTATCCACTGCTACTCTGATTGTCGAGCAGCTGACACCAGCCTCGGTATATTTGTGAGCTGCCACTTGTTTTTACAGTCTGTGAGTTGAAACGCGTAGGCACTGAGCCCATTTATTAAAGGCTTTTTAACCTTTGCAAAGCATTGTGCCTTGGTATTTTTTGAGGGGGTATGACATATTGATTGCAAAGCAAAATACATGCCTAACATCTCTTTTCTTTTTGCGCTCATATGTCCTTGGATCCAAAGAGTACGTGTTTTTCAATACCTGCATTTGTGAAGTGTAGCACTCCTCAGCCAATCTGTTCTACAGAAGCACAAAGATAGGTTCTGAATATTTCTAATGTGGATGTTCTCCATTTGCCTTTATAGAGATCATCTACAGCTGGGTGTTTAATGAGTTCCCGTCGTTTGTTGCCGAAGACAGTCGGCGCTTTATCTCCCAGGACACGGGAAACTTGTACATCTCCAAGGTGCAACCCTCTGACGTAGGCAGCTACATCTGTCTGGTGAAGAACACGGTGACAAATGCAAGGGTCCTGAGCCCCCCGACACCTCTAACGCTGAAAACCGACGGTGAGGCTCTCAGATTTATAGCACCTCTCACACACGATAGGCCCTGATTTGTATAAATGCTCTAGGCAGACAAATGTAATGGATTTCATTGGATAAACCACGCAGAAAATAATGCAGAGTCCTCTCCCTGTTCATTTGCAAGAGTAAATTTTTTTTTTTTAAAAAAAAAAAAAGATCTATTACACAGCTTCCTCCCTCTGAATTTGTTTAGCGATGATGAAAATCTAAAAGCAGATTTTTTATATTCTGCTGGTGCATTTTATTGTTATAATGCATTTTGAGGAAAAAATTTCAGATCAGATAGGTTGATAAAAGTGGGTCGGTCCTCTGCTTTCCACTGAGCTGCATGTTAGTGGAGGGGGTTATGAATTCCATACACACCGTAAATAGATAGTGAGCAATGCTTTAACATTAGTGCGGGGAGCCTTCTTCGCTCACAATGTGCTTTGGTGAAACTGGCCATCAGGGAAATCATTTTCCAGCATAAAATTAACTGAATCAATGGCCCTTGCTGTGGATGGGATTTCGCTCTTTTATACTAGCCTCTCAGGAGCCATGCTGCGGAGCTGTTTGTTGGATTCAGGTGTGGATTTCAACTACAGGCTTTTTACATCTGACTACACAGAGATACGTCCATCACTTCACACAGGTGCCCGTTATTGTCAAGGTTTCAAAGAGCCACTGAGATTACATCCCCTGTGAAGCTGTGAAAGGGCCTCTGTGCCTTGGAACCAGGTTTGTTCCAAATGTTGCAACACAAATTTACCTCTTAAGGATTACATCCCTTCTAGCAAGAATCCTGCTCTGCATTTGCATAACCTTGTATGAAATGGCCCTCAGAGACATACATAATACTTAGCACATAACCGTGCCAAATTGGTTTGTGTCTCTCATTAACTGAGATGCAAAAAATACAGTCAGAAGGGCATGTGGTCAGTCTGCTATCAGCGTTTTAATGTAGTTCATGGTCGGATAAAGAAAATGATTTTTGCTTGTTCGGTTTTCAAGGATGAGGAATCAACTTTGCTGCAATCACATAGTGATGTCTGTCTGTAATGTGGCGATGATACTTGGGCTGAAGGACAGCACTCTCACCTGCGACACAACACAGCCAAATCAAATCTCTACAGCTGTACATCCATTATGCCAAAGAATGCCTTGGCATCTCTTGCCCTGCAAATCTCATGATGTTCAGCAGGCTTCTATATTGTGAATTTGGGTCTAAAATGCCGAAAATTACATTGGCACACCTCGCAGCAGACACCCAAATGTTCCCGTGCTGTGTGCACCCCTCAGTCATTGGAGTCTGACCAATCAGACGCCACAATCTGTGCCTCAGTAAAAGTGAGCGATTATTACACAGTAGACAGTTCAAGCTGGATCTGTGTGCGGCTCACCACTGTCAGCTCCAACCCCGACTCTCTTAATCAAAACAAGCATCTGGGCTCCATTATACCCTGCTGGAAGCCATTGATCGTCAATTCGCAATCCACCTTGAGCAGAGCGGGGCTAAGCACTGAACTCTAATGCACTGTTTTTAAACAGAGATACAGTTCATCTCAGAAACACACCCCCGTTGATTTATCTGCTCGGTGTAAATAGAAGCAAGTGCATAATATTACTGTGGATAGCAGTAATGTAGGAATGGCTCTGAATCAGAGCACATGAAAAGTGTTTGTTTGTTAATGAAAAGGAATGCTGCAGCACAATGACATTGCTGTTTAAAAAAAAAAAAAAGATATTTAACAGGCTATTGCATAGTTTTGTATTATCTTCATTTTTTCCATTCTCATTCAGTTATAATAATGTTATTTTCATTAAAGGAACATGAGCCTCAGAGAGGGTTTCAGCCAACATAGTGATTTGCCATGCAGCAGTGACCTTCCATGGTTACTCTAGTGTGCATACAGTGCTGTCTGCACCCAGCTGGCCAGCAACGTTATTAGAAAACATTTAATCATAAGGTATGGAGGACAAAACCCATCTGCAAACCATCATAATGCTAACATCCACACAATGTGAAACCTGAGTTTCATTAGACATTTATAATATTGTCAATCCAATTTTTATTCCCAACAAAATTTAAGGTATGTCCATTGTAAGAGTCCAACATCTTTCTGACGTCATATTCACATCCGGTGCCAGATAAAGACATCACTTCTACATACCGTAAAACTTTCCTGATTAAACGCCTAGTCTCTTTTACTCACCCGCTATGGCTACACATTTTGACAAAGACAGGCCTGTCTCAATTAGAAGCCTGGTGTGGTTGCCAAGCAGTTCTTTTATGAAGAAGAAGAAGTTGTTCTTGGGATGTATAAAACACGGTTGTTGCTACCTTAAATTATGGGTCCATTCATTGATTACCCAGTAAGATATTCATATTCCTTCAGTCTATAAAGGCGCTTGCACATGATTGCTGATTTGCCGATGCCGCAGCGCTGGCCGTCGGCTTGACCCAGTGCTGATTTCTCCTCCATCTTGCAGTCAGATCTTCAAATTTTTCCGCACCCTGTCTCTGCCCCTGCCCCCCGCCTGCGTTCTACTGTAAAATCATTGGCTCTACACGGAAAGGTCAGCGTCAAACGGAGTCGAAGTTCAACAAAATTGAACTTTTGGAATTGCGTCAAAACGCCAGTGAGGCCCACAACATGACGCCGAATTCGACAAGTACCCCGACGGCAGCTTCCATAGGAAAACAATAGCACAGCGGGCATCAAGAGATTTTTAATGCCGGTCATGTGCAAGCGCCTTAAGGGTCCTCAGATCAAAAGAATCCAAAGGTTTTTTCATAAAAATTATTCTAAGCTGTGTGAGTATTGTTTTAATAGAATAAGGTGGTGTTGTGTCGGTATGCCGGGTGCCGCAATCCTTGAGTGCCGTAACTCTATCTCTCTCTGATGCGCTGTCTGTTGGAGCTAGATCAGCTGAATGATTCATAATTGATATGTTATCTGAAGCCAAGGAACATTAATACTGGTTAAATTAATAGTTTGATTTTACTCCCAATCTTTGCTGATTAAGTTTTGTGTGAAAGGAATTAAATGTCCCAAATACAGGCCTATTGATTTGAGCGATTTAAGCAAGTAATAGCCCGGGCTATTAATTGAAGTTTTACGGTAAGCTATTTGTAAATGCCAGATCATTGTGAAATTGTTGCTGTTTCTAGTTACATATTTTTGACTGTTAGGAAGAGAGGGCAGCAGTGGTTAGCATTGTCCCCTCACAGCAAGAGGTTTTCGCGTTCGAATCCAGGGTGGGGTAACCGCCCCATGCGGAGCTTGCATCAGCGTGGGCTTTTCCCAGGCTCTCCAGCTTCCTCCCACAGTCAGATCAGGTTAATTGGTGTCTCTAAATTGGCCATAGGTGTGTATGTGAGCATGAATAGTTGTCTGTCTGTGTGTGTTAGCTTTGTGATAGTCTGGCGACCTGTCTAGGGTCTACCCTGCCTCTTGCCCAATGTCAGCTGGGATAGGCCCAAGCTCCCCCACAACCCCCAACAGGATAAGCAGTTACGGAAAATGTATGAATAAATGCAATTGATTATAATAAACTTATTTGACTGCTGTCATTCTCAAGCTGGAAACAGGTCATTGCATACATGGAGTAACACTAGCTAGTGAGTAAATATGACTTTAATTATTTGTTTTCAGTCAACTGTGTGATTTATCCATTTATAACTAAAACTATTCAATTACTGTGTATGTGAATATACCTCATTTATGTAGCAAAAAAAGTAGCCATTGTCTTTACATACAGAGTGCCTCCAGAGATAAGCCTCCAGTTGGACTGCAGTACTTGTGGTGTTATTATTGTCATAAGACATTTTCTCTCTCCACACCGACAGTGATATCAGCGAAACATAATGTTTGCAGGCACATGTTATCTCCATATGGGCATGTTTTCTGCACTGCACTCTAAATTGTTATTGAAGGCCATAGGCCCATAGCCATATTGGATGTCAGCATGATTGTTTACTAACCAACATATTTTCAGCAGTGTAGTCTAAACAACTCATTGTCCTTTACCCTGGATGTACACATTCTGCTATCAAGAAAACACTGGCTTACAGTCGGTATTATTAATACACTAGTGCTGTGGTAAAGAACAGTATAATTGAAATGTTTATCTGGAGTGAAAGGACTATTCTCTTCAACGCTTTGGAAAATTACAATTTCAAAAGGTATTTTGAATGTGTTTATTGAGGACACGCAGCAATTGTAAACATGACATTTCCCGTTACCACCTTAACTCCAAGAAGAGATTGTTCTTAAAAAATCAAGTCATCAAATTAATTATTAAAGGCACATTATCAGAGACCATCTAGTACATTACAACATGTTGTGTAATGTTAATCATGTTCCCTGTCATGGGCAAATTATGATTATGCCCCTGGGCACAGATATGCAAAAGGCCCCTCCATCTCTCCGACACAGCAGGACACACAGACTTTGTGGTGGTTTTGCCTCTTTTTATAGTTTTTAATCATCTCTTTGTGATTTTGTGTGTCCTTGATGTAATTTCATGTCTTTTTAGGCATTTTTTTCACTCTTTGTGTTTGGTTTGCCCATTTTTGTACATATTTTGTGCTCTTTTTGTGATTATTTTGGTTCTTTTACTGGTTGGTAATTTGAGTGACATTTTCCAGATGAAGCCACAGGAGCCCCAGATAATTTTGGCCCCCGGGCCTGTGCTCGGCAGGCTAGTTTGGTAATCCATCCATGTTCCCAGTATAAAACATGGCTGTATTGCTACTGCAGTGTAGATGGTAAGATCAATGCCTGTAGGGCAACTTCCTCAATGAGCACAACAGTAGGGGTGTGACAATCCAATTACAATTAGGGAGACTATAGCTGCAGGAATAGGCTGGGCCAATTCAACTGTGTGGAAATGGAGAATTTAAGAGGGAGTTATTATTAAACTATTACAATTCCACTACTGCGTGGAAAAATCTGATTTATGATTATTTAAGTTTTTATATATTTTAGCATAAGTGTGAAATTGTAAATGTATACAAACCTACAAAATCTCTTTTTGAACTTTTCTTAACAAGGATTCAAAAGTTATCCTGTGTATTGCTGGATCAGGGAGCTAATAAAATCCTTTTCCAATGTAATAAGCGTGGAGTTCCACTAAATTTCAGGATAGACATTTCACTTTAAAATTGGTTCACAGAGGAACAAAGCACAACAGAAAAATGTAATTTTCATGTGATTAATAAATGAAACAGGAACATAAAATATAAAGCTATACTACAAATGAAGGCTGTTAATGTTTTAGCACATCGAGCCAAGACATTATTTCTTTCAATTCCATCAGGTCCAGCCACTGAGACTGAATATGATATTGAATATACTATGGCATGAGCCAGTGAAATATTGCAAATTCATTATATGTGAAGGGCTGCTTTGGAGCTATAAATGTTGAGAATGAGATTGAAATTGAAAAGTTCTTTGGAACAAATATCATAAAACTCCTTTTCCATACATAGTGGGCCACAATTCAGTAACCTCAGTCCTTCTTTGGAGCATTCATTTCATCACATAAAAAGTGTCAGGTACACGTAGGAGGTGTAATGGTTTCTCAAATGTCACGCCGGTCATTTGTCTTACTGATCATGTGTGTTACAGCACGCATGGAGCAGCACTGCATATGGTCTGATGTGTTTAGCTGTAAATTCAGGAAGGTGCTGGGGTTAGCACCGTGTCCATCAGCAGTGCTCACATGTAATCATACTGTGTACATTTAACTTCTGTAAAGACTAAGATGCTCATGTAATATTCATATTGCAAACTCCTATTTAACAAGACCAATAATAGTAATTAGATCCCAGGCGAAGGTGTTTTCCTTTGTTACTTTAAATTTGCTCAATGCCATCTGACATATCTCTCTGGCAAATGGATATAAATGGGCGCCTTAACATACAGATGAATAAACAAAGAAGGCATGTCCTCTGGCTATGACTTAGAGCTGAGGTGTTAGTCAGAGTGGCACTTAGCAAGACTGATAACACGTTATCACTTGTGTCCTTCACAATGTGTTTGGGAATTGTAAAGTGGCTTACTAATTCCTGAGGACAATACACTACGTTCTGTGTTGTCACTGGAGAATATTTGTTGGTACATCATCCTAATGGTTTGCCCTTATGATACAACTGCTCCTGAGCTTTTCTACCATTTCTTATTCAGTAGACTTCAATAGGTCATGCCTAGATGGGAATGAATATTTTTGTGTACACTCTTGTTTGTGCTGGCTTGTGACTGCTAAGTCAGCAGCAGAACATAGCATGGCTAGGTGCATTAGCTTCATCTTTTAGACTTTCAATGGTGGTTTCTGAGCTGGATGGTATGTCAGAGTCTCATGCTCAGAAAGTTACAAAATGATCAATTGTGGCTCATAATGTCCATACAGTTGGAAAAATAATACAGCTAATTGGCTAATATTTTTCAATAGTGTCTTTTTCAAATGTTGGCTAACTAGTTCACCTCACCATTATGGATATGTGACACATAGTGATTTAGCGTTAGCTAGCTCATGTTTGCACAAGGATTCATGGGTTAGGCTCTTAGTAATGTTGCAACTGTAAATTAAATGTGTTCTTTTTTTATGAATAGGTCCATTTATCTTCGCAAATAATATATTGGATTCATATTAATGTGTGCTTTCAATTATTTAATTTTTGAAAAAAAAAAAAGCAACTTATGAAACAATAGCTTGGCAGGTCCATTGTAGTAACTCTTAGGACCCCCAAGGGGTTGTGGACCCTCTGCTGAAGACTTAAGGTTTAGAGCATTCTGATACAAAAATCTTAAATCAGGGGTTTTCATGTCTTAAAAAATGGCTTACTGTTTTTATGACACTTAACACTTTACAAAACCAATATCAGTTGACAGTGATATATTCTGCTGGGGTACAGTAACACCACATGGACAACCTACATGTAGAGCTGTGGTACACCTTACTATTAGAACTGTATGCAATAATAATGACAATTTATGAAGTCTATGTATAGTTATGATTACATTGCTGATGATTGTTTTGGGCCGCAGTGTGTGGTTGCCTGTCTTAGTGTACTATTTTTTTCTTTATATTTTTAACAATATATTGCTAGCCTAGCATGTCTGCTTTTTCCTACTGACTTTAAGTACATAAAACTGATCCCATTATCTTAAAATAAAAGTAATATAAATATCTTAAAATACATACCATGTGTTATTCTTAACTAATCCTGTATATGAATTATCCCCATGCTTTATTCCTATTTATCTCTATCTATCTATTTATAGATAGATAGATAGATAGATACATAAATAAGTCTGTATTTGATCTAAACCAGTACGAAAAAACTTAAAGACTCTCTGAAGTAAAGATGCATAGTTGAAAGATATGCCAGATGGTGTGCATAATGTGAAGTCCCACACTTGTAAACTGCGCGATTCAATGTTCCATGTGTCTCTTGAGAGGCCTTTACATCAGAAATCCTCCAGGAAATTTAGATTTGCTGCTTCATTTTTTTCTTCAGTAGTTGCTAACATACTCATAAAACAGGTACCAGGCCAATAGGAAGAGAGCCTCCCTATTATTTCTAAAATCACTATGCCCAGGCTCTGTGTAGCACACTGCAAGAAAAGGAGATGATGGGAAATGTGGAGAGTAAGTAGTGGTTTCAATCTGCTTGGTTCTAATGTCTGCAATTTCTCTTTCTTAACCTTTTCCAGGTGTCATGGGTGAATATGAGCCCAAAATTGAGGTGCATTTCCCTACATCTCTCCTGGCTGCCAAAGGAGTCACAGTCAGGCTGGAGTGCTTTGCTCTGGGGAAGTAAGTAAACAAGGACATATTGCACAAATATAGGTAGCTGTTTATTACAGTAGCATCATATTAATCAGGAACAGTAAACTACAGCCTATCACTGCTCTGTTGCTAAGAGATCCTTTAGATTACACTCCTTGTGTTTTTCTCTCTTCTTTAAATTACATTATTCCATTACCTGAAAAGGGAACCAGGCATATCTTGTCTTCAGGCGGGATGTTAAGTGAGTGTAGAGAAGTGCAGCATCGTAGCTCGGCTGTTAGATGGCATGTTAGTGCATGGGGGGAAGACTGAATAGGGAATTCAGCCCTAGGGACCCATGTGTTCTCATAATTGAGAGCCCTAATGTATCTGTGTTTCCTGGGTGCTTTCAGGGTCTGTTATGAATGTAGAAAGCCAAGGTTATGTGTATGGAAAAAATGAAATTGGTAATAGTTGTCTGCCAGGAGGGAAAACACACTTTTGTCCACAGAGACTTCAATCCAAACCACTTACCACGGTTACTAAAGTTAGCATTCTGGCTTCATGGTTTCCACGACCATTGCCTATTTAAATTCAAATATATAGTATGTATTATTTCTTTAGTTTTTCATTCAAATAAAAAAAGAAAACTGGAAACCCTTTCAAACTGTTGTTCTCCAAAGCAAGGTTGAAGTGGTGTCTGACATTACAAGAAATAATTTTCATTGTACAACATAATCTTTTATCATCCCTACTCCATTTTGTTTATAATTATTCAGCCTGAATTATTCATTGCTGACTTCTATCTTAAGTGCAAACAGTCTCTAATCTACAGATGACTAAGGACCTCATAATTGTTTTCCTTGATTTCAATTAATTATCCACATTATGGTAAGTCATTTCCTAAATATATAGACACTGCATTATAATCTTGCACCCTTTAGTTTTTCCTGTCAAGCTAAGCAGGAGTTTTGGGATGCTTGTAGAACAGCCAAACAGTGTAAGTTTTTGCTCTGTGCTTCCCTCAATGAGGTAATTTGTGCGTGATGGCTTTCAGTCAGACAGTGATGCCAGTGACTTACCCTTTTACATAGAGATGAATGATTTATCAATGCACCCTATTAAGAAATGCCAGTCTTTATATAGCACTGAAAATGAAGTTAAAATGGGTTTTGTTCTGCTGTTGATCAATATTTATGATGGCACCACTAGCAAAGACGGGGCAGAAAAGCTCTTTGTGTGTGAATGCCAAGGCACCTTGATATGATTGTCTGTTGTGATATTTACCAGTGACAGTACTTTGTAGGCCACAGTCAAGGGCAAAGAGAACAATGAGACAATGAAAGTGAATTAGAGAGCAATAAAAATAGTCCAATGGTTTTGCATTCTAGTCACCTTATAATGTTGTAATATCTGCAGCTCGTCTTACAAACTACTGGACCAATCAGCCTAATATTTTGTGGCCACATTTGTGACTGTGCTCAGGTACCTCTAGTTGATGCAGTGATTCACAAAAAATATTTTATACCATTATTGACTGCTGACTCCTCATTCCTCTTAACTGGCCAGTAGGGGCTGCAAGGTTTCCAGAAATTGTCTCGGCTAAAACCAGCAAACCATACCCTGTTACAGGCCATATTTTGGCCTTCGTCATGGCTCAAATATTTACATTTATAGAAATGTTTGGTCACATTTTAAACTGTAGTGTCTGCAGATTGATTACATACCTGATATATTATGATCCATTAAAGGAACAGTGCACCCAAAAATGAAAATTCAGCCATTATCTACTCACCCGCCGATGGAGGCTCAGGTGAAGTTTTAGAGTCCTCACATCACTTGTGGAGATCCAAGGGGAGAGGGGGTAGCAACACAACTCCACCTAATGGAGGCTTATGGCGCCCCAGATTCAAACGTCCAAAAACACATAATTGAAACCACAAAATATCTCCATACTGCTCATCCGTACACGCGCACATGTGAGCGCGGTGCACAGAGAAGCAGTTAGAGCTACAGGCTACAATGAGGCTAAAAGAGTTCAAATGACGTTTTTCCAAACAACTTTTTATGGCGGGGCTTCAGGACACTTAGATCACTACTAAGTCAATTATTTTTGTTATCTTTGCCACTATCTTCACTAGGGTTGGATATCGCCAGAGGACCCACGATATATTATCATGATACTAAGGTCACAATACAATATTATTGCAATATTGCTATATGCTTAGTATTGCGATACAATATATTTTTTTACTTTTTTCCCAACTGCCTGAGCGTAAGGTTAGCCCTTATGTGTGTAGCATTCCCAGAGTATTTTATTCTCATATGACACTGCTTGCAAATCGCATGTGTCATACAAGTCCTTCTTGCACTCTATGTTAAAAAAAATCCCAAATAAGTCCAGATGTTTGATTTAAATGCCAACAGAGCATTTCTGATTTCTCTCTCTGGTGCCTCCATCTTTGTTTCGATGAACTTCCTGCCAAATGCCACTGGCTGAGATCTCACCAGAATAAAAAACTCTCTGCACCATCTAGTATTAAAAGTAAAAAGCAATTGATATTATTATTCTAGTACCAAACTTTGTATTAACATGTGTATTTGGAAAAATTAATAATGTATAATAAATGATTGATACTTGGCATCCATTCACTGATACAGTATTACCACGCAAAATATTGTTTTTTTAATATTTTTTTCCCAACCCTTAATCTTGACAGTGAGGGAGCCAAGAGGGACAATTGACCTATGGCTAAGCCACGCCCCCCTCCACTCACTTGGACAAAATATCAACATTCAGTGACCGGCGCTATGGCAGGTGTCACAGTACACGGCATTTTGCAGGAGGCAATTGATGATTTTTGGAGACATAACAATCAGATGTCATTAAGAAGTAACCAAAAGGGCCTAAACCACCCATTGGAGGGATAGATTAATCATTTAATTGTTGAGAAGGTCAATGAAAAGCTTAAATTACAAGCCAAAATTTACAGGTCCCAGTGTAAGCGTGATAAACCGCATCTTGTTGCTGTCACCATCAAAGACAACCAGTTAAAGTGCCACTGAAGTTAAGGTTTTTGGCTCAGAATATGAGAGAAGAATAACGGCCTTTTTACCATCTTTACCAAGAGTGTCTCTCCGTTAGTTTGGTGCTACAGTATTTACACTGACTCATTCAGCATAATATTTGCCAACCTTTGTTATCTCTGCCATTACAGATAAGTTAATGAAGCTAAACTCCAGAAGTTAACGTTAGCTTAACTAAATTAGAGCCCCTTGGACAACAGCTAACAATCTACAAAAACTAGAACAAAATAGGCTAATGAACTCCCAGCAAACAAGGTGACATGATGAACAACACAGCTAGGAGCTAACATTAGGCTAACTTTAGCTAACGTTAGCTAGAGATGTTAAAGATAACTTTATATTTCTTTCCAGCAAAGTGACAATATGTTGCCTCAAACACAATGTTGACTTACCTTAGAACAGATGTAGACATCATTGTTAATCTTATTCACGCTGAGTTGATGTTGTGGTCTAACGTTACCACACAACTGTATCCAAGGATTGGATACGGTTGAGATGTGGTTTAGGAAAGGGTAAAAAATACACCTCGTCACCCAGCCTCTCAGGAAACCTTGTGTCGGAGTTGCATGTACCCCATGCACACCATTTGACCATTTTTAAACTTTAAATCTCAGAAAAAGCTCATACAACCGAACAAAACTGACTTTCCGTAATGCATTTCATAAACGACCAGGCAGGGAATGTCCGAGTGTATGAGAATGGCTATAAGCACTTTGATTGGCTCATTGCTTTTGAGGGCGGGGCTTAGCCATAGGTCAATTCCATAGGGTGAAGCTGCATTGTGTTCTGGCTGCCATTGCCAACACTGTTTTGTTCTGTCCGACATACAGCATCATACCACATCAGGAGGTTTCAGAAGTGGAGCATTTTACCTGCTTGATTTTGTAGATTTTGTTCATTCGGTAATTTTTCCTTGGTGTTTGTGCTTCTGACCTAAGTAAATTTGAGTAAGTAGGTTACTTAGTTGTAAATGGTTTCCTTTTTTTTGTCTATTTTAATTGTGTTTATCATCCTTCTCTGTTGCACTGTAGCCTACAGACAAAGTTAACAGTGTTAAAAGTCCAGTTATACACAACATGGGTCACAGATCTCTGGCTATGTTTTAGTCATTAAAAATACATACATAATTATGTTGTATGTATGTTTCACATACAGTGCCTATTAGCAGGAGAACTTCATTTGCTCTGTGCAACACACTGTGGCTCTGTCAAAGATAGACGAGGCACATATTTTTATAGCTTTGGGGATTTTCTGATTGGGCTGCACCTTGTTAGCTGGAATTACAAGAATAGTCTTGAGGGGTCGCAATCAGCCCAGGCACTTGGCCACCCAGCAGAGATCTAGTTAATAATTATGGATTTTTTTTAACCTTTATGTCTTTGGAAATGGATTCTCTGTACAAACATTGTTTACTATTGTGGAGCATCATTGTGCTTCTAGTGTTTCAAATTACTTCATATACATAATAAGATCAATAAAATTAATTACAACTTTTGCTTGAAAGGGGCAGCATTAGCACTCTCCTAATAGGCTTACCACATCTTTTATGAGTTTGTTATATAATACTGTATGTGGTGTTCACAAACATGTCTGTTCTGCTTCCTTATAATAATAATAATAATAATAATAATAATTAATTATATTTGAAGGCGCCTTTCTTGGCACTCAAGGACACCGTACAGATACACAAAATGACATTAAAAAAAAAAAAAAAAGCCTGCCAGTGTAATAAAGTTATCATCCAGCCAGTGTTTTAAATCAAAGATGATCAGGATAGTCACCATGAATGATATAGCCATTTATAGATGATGGTGTTCTACATATAGATTTTCAAACTACACAAATTCAATTTAAAACTCTGCTCTGTTTCACAAGAAACTGTGGAAAGTGCAGTGCTGTTAGCTGCATTCATTTCAAGGGGTACTGGAGTATGTAGCTCAAAAGGCCTTGTACATTTGATGGGTTACACATTCTCCCACTCATTTCCACTTTAAATATAATATGTGGCATGTGGTGGATGCTTTCATCCAAATTGCCTCAAGAGTAGTGGATATACTTTTAGTTTCAGTGACCCCAGAGGGAATCAAGCTCTTGAAACCCTTGCAGTTAGGTTCCTCATTGAGCTGTACAGGACCGCACATTGTCAGCAGCAAGAGAAAGTGCCTCTCAATGGCAACACATTTTATACTCTTGGTACAATGTTTTTGAAACACAGTTGTGTTTTGGTCAGATCATACAGGTAAAATGTGGCTTTGTGCTCCTCCTGAAAAAGTAGTTTAGAATTTGCTACAGGGGCCAAAGAAATAAGAGCTTAGCACTGAGCTAAATGTTGGAATAATATCTAGATCTTAATGATCTGAAGCAAGCCAATTCTCCACTATATTTCGGTTATTAGATTTAATTTTCAACCTTTATTACAGAACAAGTCCAGATGAGGGCACAGCAATTGTGTGGACTGCTAATTAAGATGTAATCTACGGAGCTTGCCTATGGGCACGTTCTTAAATTGAAAACTGTAACACCTTACATAAACTCCAATGTGTAACACGTTCACAGTGTTAGGGTAAGAAATACCTAGTTTGTACACTGATAAAATTGACATGACCTCAGTTTCAGAGTTCAGGAGTTAATACCAACAGTTTCATACAGAAGAGACCGACAGACAGTTCCTCGTTTCTAAACGGAGTGAGTCTATTCCCACCTCGCCGCCCCCAGTCTTGTGAACACGTACAGGCCCAGTGCTCATTATTCAGCCTCCAAAGAGAAATCCTGCCACAGACTCAGGAAGACTCACCCTCGTGTTCCAGCCCCTCAAGGTCTCTATAGATTTGCTGTGTTCTCTGGCTAGTTGAGAGTTTATTTGGAGCAAAGGTCTATAGCAAAAATCTCCATCAATAACACATAGGGAACGGCTTCATACCAACTGCATGTCATATTCATGAGTACTGACTCAATCTCTTTGTCTATTGTTAGCACTTTGTTTATGTTGTTCTTACACCCCACAGGGGCATTGAAATGAAAATGTCAAGTGCTAACAAATGGAACCACATTATACCACAGATATTTGATTTTACCTCAGGCCACAGATTTCACCCCTTGTAACCATACTGTATAGGAGATATTTGTTGTTGAGTCACCACACTATTAAAACATATAGCTGTCTGTACTGCAGATGGGGAGATACTGGTGATGACAGTGACTTATGATAGTCTTCTCTCAAATGTTGACATTGTACATTTCACGTGTCACATCACGTGTCATATCAACATATCTACCTTACAACAAGTGAGGTAGTAGATAAGCTGACTTTGTCATCAGGGTGGCAGGGTTGGTATATTATGTGACACCAAGACGAGACAAATGCAGCTGCAGACAACTGCTGACCACTGAGACCAACTGGTTGTTCTTCAGCAAGACATCCCAACATTTCCAGCATGATTGTGCAAGTAAAACTGTGTGTTTTTAGTAAGGCATCAGCATCATTTCCCACTATGATTGTGTTATCAGAAGCTGTGTTTTTTAGCAACACATTATCCCTATTTCCAGCGGCGATTATGCCACCAAGATTGGGTGTGGGTCCGCTAAAATTCTAAATTCTAAAATTCGGCACTTGTGAGTCAGTATATCCCCCCATGGAGTCCAGACACTGGTGGTGATGGCTGCTGTTTGCTGAGGCTGCTGAGGTGGATGAGGCTGATGAATCCCTAAAGACTGGGTGGTGATGGGGAGGCGAAGGGCGCGCAGGACTACAGCAAGAAAGAACTACGGCAGAGAAAGGACCATATTTCAAATGAGGAGCAGCACGATATATCCCCCCATGGAGTCCAGACTCTGGTGGTGGCTGCTGATTGCTGAGGCGGCTGATGCTGATGTAAGGACTAGGTGGTGATGGGGAGGTGACTGCAGCAAGAAAGAACTATGGCAGAGAAAGAACCATATTTAGATTGAGGTGCATTGAGATGATAGGCTGACAGAGAAGGTGTGTCACTGTGCTATTGGTTGATTGTGAATCAGCTGATGACTCAACTGACCTACCCAGAAAATGTCACCTAGAGGTAGTGAGTGAGCATACGTGCAAGGAGTGAGTGGCAGGGTGAGAGAGAACCTTAGAGCCTGAGCATGAAAAGTATTGTCTTCCTTTATATGCTTTTAGCAAGACATCAGCAGCATTTCGCGGGCCTCATTTGTGGCAACAAAAGTGGGATTAACTGGAATGCATGAAACATAAATATCAGTTGGAGTGACAGTATTGTGGCCTATGAATATGGCGTTACACATCACCATAGTATGTTGTATTAAGAGACTATCATGTTTTTCTAGATTTTACATGGAGATCTAAGCAATTTATATTTTTCAAACTATGGATCATGACATTATTTTTTCTTGATCGAACCTTGTCCTCAAATTCATGTGCAGGAAATCTGCAGCTCTTATAACTGCAGTCCGTGTGAAACTACTGTATGTTATTCAGTATGCTGCCTCAGAGTCTCGGTGATGTGAGGAGACCTAAATGCACGCTGTAAGGAAATGAGTTCGCTGTTGGAAAATTCAAAGCAAAAGAAAATGTTGAAACCAATATCCTACAAAGAAAATATGTGACACAAAACTCCTGTCCAAAATGAAAGAAACTCTTTGTGAAGAAATGCGTTGCTTAATGCAAAATATGCTCTGAATCCTAATTTGAGTCCACTGCAGCCAAGAGCACTTCAATGTCCTTGTGAATTTAGAACAGCTAAAAAAGCTCAGGGATGTAACATTTCCATCTTGGCTAAATGATTGATGGGTTCACTGGAGGTTTGTATGGTGTCACATTTCCATCTTTCAGACACCTGTCAAATCTAGTTGTCATACAAGCGCACTGCTGATACTGAGCGTATAGTCAGGCATTCTCACTCTCTGCATGTGCAAGTCATCTATCAAATGGATCTATAGGGCAATCCATGAATAAACAGGGATAGAGGACACTGCTTGAACACTAATCATACAAATCTTTTAGGCTGTTATTAGGCTGAATCGAATATTATCTCTGTCAATCTGAAACCCAGGCTGTAATGTGTCGTTTGGTACAGTAAATTTATCATGAGTGGCCGAAAGGTCAGAGATTCACATGTAGAGCAGAGCCAATATTAAATACTCATCATGGTATGTCAATACGTCATTATGAATGAAGGACTTATGGAGGCTGTAGGTCATTGCCAGTGTTTGTTACACTTAGATGTTGTTTTAAAATATCTTTTTATTGGTTTAAAAAAAAAATCATTATTCATTCATTCAATTAATCATACAGTCAAGAAAAAAAGTAGTAACACCTACAACAATTTCCACAAGCTCACTGACATTACATTAAGTTAGCTTTAAGCAGTTGAGTTGAACCTTTAAGAGTTCACTCATGCAATAAAAGAAAGATACTTAACATTGTAAAAGGTTTTTATTTTTTATGGGCTCAAAGCAGAGAAAAGAAAATCTGTCAGGGTCATCTTTTTAAAATTGTATCCAGTTGAAAGGGCATAGAAATACCTGTATTAATTTTATGTATCATTACATTGTCATCATATGAATATATACTTCTTGATGGTTGTGCTCTTATTTTCTAATTTTCTCAGAAAACAAAATTATTATCAGCAGTGAATTGTGCCACAGCAGCTCACACTACACACCTATACTGTGTGTAAATACAGCTTGTTCTTATGTTACACTGTACTGTTGAGTATATAATCCCGCTCCTCTCTCCTCGCAGTCCAGTGCCAACAATCACATGGAGGAAGATAAATGGCAACATCCCCAAAAAAGCAAGACTTCGGAAGTCCCAGGCCGTGCTGGAAATTCCCAACATTCAGCTGGAGGACTCAGGAACTTACGAATGCAAGGCAGAGAATCCGAGAGGAGGCACTGCTTTCAAAGGACATCTGCAGGTCTACAGTGAGTCTGAGTGTGCATTGATTCTGTATTAATTTGTTGGTCTTTAACTTTTCTCTTCAGCTGTCTCACATTATAGAAGAGGACATGTGGTGATGTGTTGTACTCCAGCAAATCACAATAACACAAATCACAATAACAATGTTATTGTGATATCTACAAAATGTAAAATGATGGGATTAATATTAATAATAATTCTATCAGTCAAATTTATCTTAAATTTTGTTTTGTCTGTTTTCACTCTTTTTTGGTAAATGAATTATGGCGCACTCAAAATTTGAGTGTAGGGAGGTACTGAATTATTTACACAATATTATCATATGTATATTATTACCATGATATCAGTGTTTCATTTTTAAAATATCACAGTTTTTGTCAATGCCAATCATTATACCCCCTGTCTGAATATAGTAGCTTAAACAACAGTTGCTGAACAGTTCAACTTTTCAAGTTCATTTTGGTTGTTCTGCACAGTTTCCAAGGATTTTTTATGATGTAAGTCATCGCTGGTTACAGTCATCTGTAATTCAAGGCTGGGGACCGGTCCTTGTCTCTGTGAATTTGCCGAACAGTTCAAGGACTAATTATACACCCATGGCAGATAATCCAAGAACAAGTTCATCACCTCAGTGAGTGAGCTGTGTCTTTTAGTGTGGGTCTCTTTAACACGGCTCTTCAGCTGTCAGGTCTGTTTTGTCCAAAATATTCTAACCACTCCTCTGGTAGTTGTTTTACTAATGTGGTTGTTTTGTCTTTTTTCAAAGATTTGTCGCAATAGATCAGAATTCTTTTTTATCCAGTAATCACATCCATGCCTTTGAATGCTACTTTCTATGAATTTTCTGAGCACACCTGTTCCTAATTATTTTTGTCACTACAAAAACATAACTTTCAGGTAACAGATTGAAATAATCTGTTTAAATGAGATAATACATTAATTAAATATTTAACAGTTGCTGGGGATACCAATAAAATAATATGAAAATATATTCACATTGTAATGTTTTCAGCTTGCAGGCATACACTTTAATTATGTATTTCACTAACTCAAGGCTTATCAACTAAAAACACAGAGTTTCTTAAGTACAGTGATTAGATATCAGTTTCAGGACAGACCTCACTTGAAGAGCAGTTTCTTAGTTTCCTTATGTGAGGTGCTCGTAAGTGTGCTGAATTACTACCGTTCCCCATTATCATAGATGAAGGTGCATGTCGTCCATTCCTCTCTGTCTGTGCCGTGCGCACAGGACCAAGATAATGGACTGCCTCGGCCTTGGTGGGACACATTTCCAAGGCCCTGCACTTCTTGGCAACCTCCATTCTGTTGACATCACAAGGAGAATAGCGAGCTAATTTGTAGCAGGCTCACGCTAAATGTAATTTACACAGGTCAGCTGGAAGTTTGAACTTGCATTGTGAGGGAGACCTTCCTGACCATAATCATTCAATCAAACCACACACACACAGAAAAAGTATTCCACTGAAGGTGCCATATGCAAAGAATAGCAAAGAACGTGCTTGGCATGTTACAGTAGAAGAAGCAGCTTAATAGCGAGGTTTTCCTCCTTTCTGCACATGCTGTAAAAGATATACACCACTGGAATGTACATCATTGGATCTGGTGAGGTGTGAGATACCATACACCAATCATAAATTTATTTTTTTGATTGTAAAAAGGAAAGAAAGATAAAGCAAAAGATGTGAGAATGTCGGAGCTGTCAGAGCCAGTATTCTTCTGGAGCTCTGTGCATTTAAAGCTTTACACGTCTTTGGGTTTGCACTCTTTTATCACATTCAGCATATAATAATATCATGTCATTATCAATATCTATTTAACTTGTCCCAAGAAATTTAGTGGGTTATTAACTTCTGGTTGCACTTGTTATTTTAATCTTTTATTCCTTTTTTTATCAGTATTAAAGTGCTCAGTATAACAACTTTATTACAACATACAAGTGATGTCACAATATGCATTTAAAAATGTCTTATTTGAGCATAAAAGCATATTAAAGCAAGAGGTATAATTCAAAGGAGATTAGAATAAAAGAAGAAGAAAGGCTTGGGTTACTGACCAACTGATTAACATTCCCTCTCCATACACAAGACTGTCAGAATGATCCAGCCTCAGTAAAAGGTCCTTGTAAAGTTTATATTCTTGTAAATTTACAGGAATTGAAAAATGCACCGCCACATGCGGTATAAGACTCAGCAGATGGAAGGGGACTACAAGATGAAAAGAAAGTACATACAGCCTATACAGCGCTCAGATCTTGAGTTGTGACAGATTCTTTGCAACATGTGGAGTTGGACAGGAGCTGTGGATGCAGCCATGGAAACACAAGCATGCAGGATGCTGTGGGGGGGAAAAAAGAAAAGAAAAAAGCGTCATGGTTAAGGGGCCCCCAGGAAAGGCAGTTGCCTAGTGTGCCTATGCCACGGGCCAGGCATGCGGGTGGAAGGAGAAAAAAGAATGTGTTCATGAACATGATACAAAAAACATAAATGTGATCCACACATGGAGAAGACAATGAAAACAGTGCAGCTCTGGGACCCTTCAATAAAAAACCCTACTGCATTTTCTGTTAAAGAACAGTCTCAGAACATTAATAATTTAATCAACTTATTGAATGGCCTGTGCCTGTTAATAAGTATCAGTGTGGTTGGTCGTGCTTGTTGGTCTTGACTAAAGGTGTGTTTGTGTACAGATTTTACCACTGAGTGTTTTCTGCTACACACCATTTTAAATCTTTCCCTTCCTTTCTTTGAAGTGTGCCTGTGAGGCAGCACCTTATTAGAATTAGAAACCTTATTTGCATTTTCCTCCAGTTCTTCAGGGTTAAAGAGCACAACAAAAGATTGGGAAAAAGGAGATATCTTATTACTGGATACATCATGTGATTTATGAGTTGTCTGTGTTAAATGCAGTGCAAAAATACAGGAGCAGTGGAAGACAAAGGTGGATTCAGGGATTGTTCTGTAAAGTGACAAACATCAAAAGACTGTAAAATACAGCAAAAACAGAATGTGCTAAACAAAAGGACAGCACGCTGAAGAGAAGGTGTAAAGAAAAGATTCAAACACAGTGCCAAAATGTATTATTGAAAATTTGATTGAAATAAGTAACACATGGTTGACTTTTTCTATTCTAATGTGTTTGCTACCTTTGGGACTGAGCATTAAGGGATTACTATAAAGTGGTTTAGTGCATCCACTGTTTTAAAGGGGAACTACCCCCTTTTTTAAAATCCATGCAAGGTATTCCTATAATCTTAGCTAGTCCAGAAATGTTAGTAAACATAAACAACTTTCTCTCAAATCCAAAAAATAGAGTGTTATACTCAAATTTGTGATGTCATCAGGTATAAAGTCTGAAGCTGCTCAATAGACAGTGAATTGGTAAAGATGTTCTAGATGACACTGAGAGCACCCAGGGAAATGTTCTGAGTATGTAAGTACATTTTCTTTTTGGAACTGAGAACACTAAACCACACGCTAACACCCACAGTCATCTCTGGGTAGACAACTGGCAATTGATTCCAGTTGCAGAGATATGTAAAATTGGCAAACTTGTTCATTTTTGTTGTCATTTCTAGCTGTAACTGTAACATTTTAAGATGTTTAGTTAAACATGATGGTCCAACCAATGTTTCTGCTGTGCTTATTTTATGTACTGACTTGACTTGCTGGTGTCTTTGATAAACCAAAGCTACAGGCATGGCAGCTAAGCAATGTATTGCTGTGGACGTGGGCTGCGGAAAGTGCCGCCTTAACACTGCGACTTGAAAGCAGTGTTTTGGAGTGTAGTGTGAAACGAGACAGGAGCATGTGTAGTTCAATCAGGAAAGACAGAAGCATAGGCACCAGAGGGAGAATTTCCTGATCGAGGGACTTCTAAGCAGCAGTAAGATATATCCCTCCTGTGGAGTCCAGACCTTGGTGGTGGCTGTTGATTGCTGAGGCGGCTGAGGTTGATGTAAAGACTAGGTGGTGATGGGGAGGGGACTGCAGCAAGAATAGGCCGATAGAGAAGGTGTGTCGCTGTGCTATTGGTTGATGAGTTATTAGCTGAAATCAGCTGATGACTCAGTTGACAGACCCAGACAGTGACACCTAGAGATGGTGAGTGAGCGTGCGTGCAAGGAGTGAATAGCAGGGTGAGGAAGAACCTTAGAGCCTGAGCACGAAAAGTAGTGTCTTCCTGACTGAACTTTCACTAGAGCTTCATTTGACCCTTGCAGAGGGTTCTTTCCCTTACAGCAAGGTAAAGCAGTGGAAATATTCTAAATATAGCATACACCTTAATTGATATTGATTTATTTTAAGGTGTCTAAGAACTTAACAATTGAGGCAGTGCCATAGCATTTTATATATGGGAGGTAGAGGTTTTCCACCTTGAAATTATTGTTAAAAAACGTTGTGATTCAGTCTATAAAGCTCATTTTGATATTAAAAAGGAAATAAACACTATGTGAGGCCACAAAATCAGACTCCCATTTATTGTCTATGAAGCAGCTCCAGACTTTGGTTGAGACTTACAGCTTGGATACACTTTACGAATTGAATGTACACAGATAGCTGCAGTCCCTCGCACATGCTCATGGTTCCATTCATAGTACAAATGAGGGCCCTTGTGGCCCCTAGCAGGAAACGGGAGGGCTGGGAGGTGAGCTTTCTGTATTCCTAATGCCTCCGTCGAAAACTAAAGCGAAACTAAGAAGATGCTGCTGGGACTCGAATGTAGATCAAGTGTTTGAAGCATGTGTAGTTAGAGTGCATGGTCACAAAAAATGTATTGCACACGGACATGCGGACGTGGTTGGATGACAACATTTACATCACACAGACCAAAGCGGACACTCGTGGAGTCTCGTAGCTTTGAAAGAGTAGCTCATGTTCACACATATTGATTGAACCTTCCCATGCCGTGGAAAAAATCTTATTTTAAGTGTTGTTCCCCTTTAAATACAGCCTCTTACATGCGTGTTACAAGTGTATTTGTGCATTCCTGTTTCTTTTCCTTTTAAGTACAGGTGACCATACTTGTGCCTTGTGTGGGTTTCAAGGATATATTACTTATTCTAAATCTTTTTTTTCTTTTCTATCTTCAAGCCCTTCCTCAGTGGGTCAGAATGATTAATGACACTCAGATGGATAGTGGAGAGAAGCTCCAATGGGAGTGCAAGGCCATGGGGAGGCCCCGGCCCACCTATCACTGGCTTCGTAATGGTTTGCCCTTGACATCCCAGGTACTTACCTCACTACAGAGTGCCTTCTTCTTTTGTTGATTGTACCCCAAAACATCTGAATTATCCTTCTGAAACTACACGTCTGCTAAATGCAGCATTATCATGGTTAGTATGTCTATGTGCTGATATGATGTTCTTTAATGCTTTCTCCTTGTTTCAGGGTCGAGTTGAAATAGTGAATGGAGAACTGACCATTCATAAAGTGCAGCAGACAGACTCAGGAATGTACCAGTGTGTTGCAGGAAATAAATACGGGGCCATCTACTCAAATGCTGAACTCAAGATTTTAGGTAATTACACATTTGGTTTATAATTTAGAGGACCAAACACAACATTAAAAGAAACGTTTGTGTAATTTTTCATGAGGCAAATGTTCCTTTCGGCCAAGCGCAGTTCTTGTTACTCTGCAAAGAACAGAAGTGCAGACTGAGTATTGGCATCTGAATAAGGTACCAGATGATAGGTAAGGGAGATTGAAATGCAAGTGGCGAACGCTGAACTGTGAGATGTGCTGATTGCCAATCAATGGTCCCTGATTTAACCCAGGCAGTGGACGGCATGAATAAAAGAAGGACCCTTATGGTTATATTCAATGAGGTGTCTGCGCTCATCAAGTCGAGGAGAGTCTGGAACAGTTCTTCGTTATATCTAAAGAGAATGAAAAGCAGTGACTTGTAGGTATAGATTTATACTAATGGGAGCAAACACTGGAAGAGAGACATCAATGGTTTCTTTGATGGAGTTTAATGACTCCATTAGGGTCTTATCTCCACTGTATCGTTTGTCATCAAAGCACAGTCTACACCACAACCCTCATTACTTAAGAAAACAAACCTTCACTTTGAGCGTGACTGTCATCATGTATTTCTTAGTCAGTGTTTGCTATTATTATTTAATAATCAAGTATAATTATTAATAACACACACATTTTACAGTGTTTTCTTTATTTCCAATGTGTATTTTTATCCCTTTTTCTAAATAATAAAACAGGAGTCACATGTACTTGAAAATTTAAGGGCACTAAAAGCCAAGGAAACTGTGCTCTTCAGAGTTACATGTAAGGCCTCAGGCTGAAACATAACAGTCGCACTGAATGGCTGTCCACTGTTCTGCGTTGACGCACTATTTTCTCCTTGTCATCTTCTATACTGGGATACAGCTGGTGACACCCATTCCCCTTCTGTGCTCCCCAGAGGGACAGTTTGATTTACTGTCTGTGTGGCATGCCCTTTTTCGAAGGGGAATCTGTGGCATTTTGAAAATCTTATTGCACATGGAAAAACTTTTTTTTCTTTTTGGGAAGATCTATAAAACATTTGGCCCTAAAATCAGTGTAAATGAGCACAGTTTAATTGATTTAAATGCTCAGTGTTGTCTGCAAGAATGAGAATTTTAATAAGCTTTATGTGAGCTGACGAGAAAGTGCCGTTGCCTTCCTTAGAGTCACAATCACAACGATGATATTTGGAGGCCAGTGATGAATGTTTTCATAACTATACCCCCTAGGCATATCTTCCAAGTGACCTGTGCTCTGCAGAGATGTCCACAAGCAAACACTATCAGGACAGATTACATGGCTAATAACAGCCTGCAGATGAGCGATCACTGGAGGCTACATGGGGGCAGCGGCTGCCCTCAAGCCTGTGATCTTGTCCCAGATCCAGCTCTTCTGGGAGGGGTGGCGGGTGAAGCAATAAGGGTACCGCTGCCACCAGCTGCAGGCCTGCTCTTATTTTGATTAAAACAAATACACACAGCAACTGCTCTGTTTTCTGCTGCTTTCCGTGTCTAGAGGACCTCTGCCACTCAGGCGACTACTCAGCCTCAAAGACACAAGTGTTACAGGGAGAGGGGTCAGCCTGTAGCTACAGATGGGATTGAATTGTCATTGTGTGTAATGTCACCTATAAAGCATCATTCAGGATTTGAATAATCGCAGTTGACAAAGCCTCTCAGCCTGTAGATGGCCTTGATGTGTAATACAGCTGTACACCAGCACCACATCCACTTTTGTGCCCAAAGCCTTATTTAGACCATTAGTGCCTAATTCATTCTCTTGAACAAGCCATGATTGTTAACATTTGTATATTATGTATTTATTATTCACTCAGGCAGCCTGGTTAAATATGGGTTAAAATAATTTTCATAAAAGTGGCACAAATCACCCAACCATGTCATCATTAACATGATGACAGCTATTTAGTAATTAGGCTGCACAATGTATATTTATAGAGATGTGGCTACTGATTTAGCACAGAATGAAGACAAAGTATGGCACATTATACAGTATATAAAGGCATATTTAGCTAGTGCATGTGTAGGAGCATGCTTTGTAATACCTCATGTGGAAAATCTAGTTATTACTTTGAGACAAATTAGCATTTCGATCAAGCAGTGTTTTGAGTCATGATGTGTCAGTCGAAACCCTCTAGCATTTTTGAATTACTTTGAAATGCCACAGTTGAAGACCTGTAACGAGAATCACGTTTATAAATCTATTACAGTTTAACAGCCACATCATTTATTAAAACTGCTGCAAGAAAGTTTGGTTTACCACTAGGGGCTGAGAGATTAAAACAAGCCAGTCAGGTTGCGTTCAGATGTTATTTGAGCATCCAGCAGAAGCAGAGGAACATGAGAATCCCATCAGTGGCATTTTCTGTTGAGCAGATAGCAGTTAGTTTATGGGAGGCACAGTGCTGACAACAGCTGCTCACATTTTCAGGTTTAGTTTTTCTTAGTTTGTTTAACAAAAAAAGTGAATCATCTTCAGTTTGAGGAGTTACTTGATTCAATACTTGATTTGAAGATCAATCATGGTACACCTCTTACAAATACAATACTGAACATAATGTCTGTTAACATATCTTAACTGTGTAAAAAAAGAAATTCAAATTGCTTGTTTTGGTAAGTGCCAAACATTGGAAACAATAATTCACATATGGTGTGAGTATTATTGTGTTGTCTGACTATATTAGTATGCCTCCACACCAGCAATATCTGCGGTTGGATGCATTATGTTTTTGGATTGTCTGTACCACATACCACATTGTTGTGAGAGCGATATCTCAATAATGCCATGGGGAAATTTCTTCAAATTTGTCACAAACCTCTGGCTGGTCCCAAGGGTGAACTAATTACAATTTGATGGTCAAAGATCAAAGGTCAAGGTCACTGTGACCTCACAAAACATGTTTTTGGCCATAACTCATGAATCCATTTGCTAATTTTAACAAAGTTCACACAAATGTTAAATAGGATCAAATGATGAAGTGATGACATTGTATATTCAAAAGGTCAAAGATCAACTTAAAAATGATGTCACAATGTTTGGCAAAAAACACCTCTCTGGACATTATTCAGTGCCATACTTCAGGGACTAAACATTAGGTCTGATACTGACTTGGTGACACAACTGTGCTGATAGTATGTGATCTTCTCTGATGCTGGGTTGAAAATGTGTGAAGCATCTGTGTTTTTAAATTTGTAGCTCCTTTGTTGCAACAGACATGGGTGTAAACTGTAACTGCAACTTGACCACCTTGTGGAGGTATACAACCACAAGGTGGTAATTCTAGTTTTTTTCTTTTTTTCTAAAAAAATGTTAAAATGTTATGTGTCTGTCTCGCACAGCCTCGGCTCCTGTCTTTGTCCACAATCCCATACGGGTCATTGCCACACTTGGAAAAGATGTATCACTAGAATGCAAACCCAGAGCATCGCCCAAACCACGGATAACATGGAAGAGAGGAGACAGACGGATACAGCAAAGTCGAAGGTACGGCAATGCTTGAAAAGCATCATGTTTCACTCTCAAGTAGAAGCAGCCTCTGTGTGTATGTGTGTGTGTGTGTGAGAGTCAGTTAGAATGCATTGTTACATGAAATAATAAAAATCCATTGACTTATTGATCTGTGGAAGAAATTTTTCCATTTACGCGCAGCTTGTGAAGCCTGAAGCTGACAAAGATCCAGTGTTCTGCTGAAGGACAGTTTAGCAGCACAGGTGTTTGCACCTGGTGCCACTGACCAAGGTCATCATATCAAAGCGTAGCCGCACCTCAAGCAGACTCTTTCTTACTTTTCAGCTCATGTCAGTAACACATTTTGACTTTAAAATGTACTGCTTACTGTAATAAAGCATTTTTTTTTAATCAAAGAAACATTTAAAGATAAAATGTCCAGATGGAAATGACTATCTTGGGCTAAACTTGTGGATTTAATATCTCACATATTTCATCACATTGTTGCCTTAAAGCTTTCCTGGTCATTGATTTCCTGGAAAATTGTCTGCAATGGCCTGATATAACCAGAGATATTAAAGAGATAAATAGATACATCAGCAGAAATGCTTTAGTCTTTATAGCTGCACAGTATATTGCTATAACATCCGGTCCTCTATACTGGTGCAATGTGGTATTGAAAGTAAGAGAAATGTGTAAAACTCAGACAAAATCATTTCATACCATGAGATATCACTAAAGTAATGACCTGCCTTCAGCTCTTTACTGTGCATCCAAAATAGTGATATGTTGTAGGGAGTGTCTCAGTGTGTGGAATGACGGCCTTAAACTATTTTAGACTTTTTGGAAGAATTAATTTTTGCTGTTATCATTGGGCAAGATTGTGTGAATTTTCTTTGCGGGCAGTGCTAGATTTACTGGAGCTCAGTGTTATAAATAGTGTCCGATTTTTTTTTCCTCTGCACAGTTTAGAGAATAGAATATTATGAGAGGAAGTTAATTGCCTTGTAAAATATGTATGAAGTCATGAAAAGTTTGTCTCCCTCAGTATCTTTATATTGTTTTTCATGATAGTTTCATGGCATAACTTCAAGTGTTATCATTCCTGCTCAGGCCCTTCAGGAACTGTATACACGTCTTGTTGGAACACATCACACTTTCATTACTGTAACTGAAATTAAGTGTCACTACTAGAATAAAACACCTTAGGTACTGGCAAAGCTCTCAAAGGCTCAGATGCAACCCCACCTCCTTTTCAGGGATGCTGACAATTTAGAGCGTACAATTGCATTTGGAATTCACATGCAGTTTGATGCATCATCTTTTATGAGAAACATCCCTCCGTTGCACCTAGAGGGGGGCTGAGCAGAGCGAGGGTCCATCAATCAAACTGAGCGACAACACTGAAATTATCAGTCGCTGCTGAGCATCCCAAGTTTTGAGTGAGAGAACAGGACCTTTGTTTATCAGCCAAGATTCAGCTGTCTGTTCAACAGCCTCGCAGCAAGGGCAGCCAGTTGATAATCAGATCCTCAGTGTGTTGCTCCTTCAAACAGGCAGCAGCAAATCTTCATGCCTCGAACAGGTGAAAGGAAACAGACCACTCAGGCATTAGTTTAACATGCTAATTTCAGAGGTTGGTGCAAATATTTCATTTTCCATTAAAAGACAAATGGTCCTCAGAGCTCATTTTGGATGTCTATTTTCTATAAAAGAGCCGGCTTCAGTGAAACTGATGGATGGGGATAAGTTAGTGAGTGTGTTGGCCTAAAATGGTGATTAATGACCCTGGCTTGTCTGGATCTGATAAAGCCTTTGAGGTATTTGTCAAACCCTCGCAAATCTATTTTTCAGCGTTGTTGGTGCACGCTGCGGGGAGATTCATACCTGTCCGAAAACCTTGATCTTGTTTTTATCTGACTTCAGATACAGTCATGTCTTGAGAGAACAGAAAATTGTTCACAAACAATATCGGCAAAGCGGTTAGTTAGTTTCTCTCCTCAGAGTCATTTATCATTCCCTATTACATGCTGGAATTATACATGTACAGTATGTGGCCCATTTTCATTGCAATCTCAAAGATTTCTAAATTCACATTCCTCTTAAAAGAACAGTTCACCCCAAAATCCATATTTTTCCTCTTACTTGCAATACTTATCAGTCTAGATTGTTTTGGTGTGAATTGCTGAGTGTTGGAGATATTGGCTGTAGAGATGTCTGCCCTCTCTGCAATATGATGAAACAAGACTTGGCTTGTGGTGCTCGAAGCACCAATTGAAAACCTCAACAGCATTGTGTCTTTACAGAAATCATGACATGCTTACTCAAGATAATCCACAGACATTGTTGTGAGCACTTTCATAGAAGAAGTATTTTCATTCTACCAAACTACACCCACCAAGCTCATCACTGTGCAGAAGGGAGCATGCATCTACCACTAGTTCACTTATAATTGAATGCTTTTTCTTCCTTAAATGATCCAAACTGACAAGGTTTAAAGGGACAGCTTACTCCAAAATCAAAAATACATATTTTACCTTTTACCTATAGTGTTTTTATCCATCTTTTGGTGTGAGTTGCAGAGTGTTGAAGATATCAGCCAAAGATGTCTATCTTCTCTCCAGTGTAATGACACTAGATGGCACTCAGCTTGTGGTGCTCAAAACACCAAAAAAAAAAAAAAATATTTGAAAAGCAGCAATGTCTCTTCCCAGAAATCATGACCTGGATACTCAGAATAATTCACAGACCTTTTTGTGAGCAGTTTCATGTAGGAACTATTTTTGTGCCTCTGCACTGGTGATCACAGTGGCCAAAGGCATTATGATTTCTAGTTGTCCATTCATCCGTTCATACGCGCATCCATACTCACGTAAAGTCAAAGTCACCTTGGCCTTGCGTTCATTTCATTCTTGTGAACACAATATCTCAAGACCAGCATGTATTTCTTCAAATTTGGCACAAATATGAACCTTGAGTCACAGATGAATTAATTTGAATTTGGTGGTGAAAGGTCAATGTCACTGTGACCTCATCTGTTTCATTATTGTGAACACACACAATATCTCAAGAGCACCTTGAGGGAATTTTCTTTAAATTTGTCAGCCTGGATTGAAGAATAAATTGATTAGAATTTTGTGGTCAAAGGTCAAGGTCACTGTGACCTTGCAAAACACGTTTTGGCCATGACTCAAGAATTTGTATGATAATCTTGCATTTTACTCAAATGTCCCATGGGATAGAACACTTAAGTGATGATATGTTATATCCAAAAGGTCAATGGTCAACCTCACAGTGAAATCATAATGTTCTAAAACACTTTTCTAGCCATTGTCCAATACCATATCTCAGAAACAGAGGGGGAGACATTAAATCAGACGCTGAATTGGTGACACTAATCTTGGGTGCCCACATTCAAACTGTGCTGATTGCATAGATCTTCTGTGCTGCTGGAGGAAAGATTCGTGTAAAGCATCAATGTTTTCACAGACATGGATGTAAACTGGCCGTGCAACTTGACTGGTGTGCAGAGGCATACAGCTTTGTGGCAGTAATTCTAGTCTTGCTACTGAACTACACCTGCCAACCAAATCACCCCGAAGAAGGAAGTGTGCATCTACTCATGAACAAGAGGCTCGTGCTCGTGATGGTGTGAGATGTAAACATTAATGGCGTCCTCCTCGGCTGAGCTGTAATGTTAGCTAGCTAAGTGGTGCCAGGTGAACTAGAAGTAGATGCCCCCTGCCTCTGTGCAGTGATATGGTTGGCAGTTGTAGTTTGATAGAAAGAAAATAGTTCCTACATGAAAGTGCTTACAATGAGGTCTCTGGATTATATTGAGTTTGCCATCTAGTTCCATTATATTGGAGAGAAGACAGACATCTTTATGGCCGGTATCTCCAACACTCAGCGACTCACACCAAAACAATCTACATTTATAAATAACACCACTGTCCCTTTAAGCTGTAAACACAATGCTTTTATAAAACACCAGTCAAATTAAGAGTTTGACGCTCTAATGGGATGTTTGATGCAACTTAACAATACTACTGTATAGTGAGTTAATGAACTGGATAATGCAGCGTTTAGAGGGGTCACTGCTCAGCTGAAGATCAATCCTGTGAAAGACTGATTTCTATCTTTGAAAGGCGAAATGGACAAGAAAAGCCGTGCATTTTCAGGTCTCGGCCAGGGTGACTTCTGCAAGGATTTTCTGCCATTACCTATAGTAAAGTAAAGAGTTTATGGATGGAGAGACGTTCTATTCTTGGAAGAACAGGGGAGGGATCGAAACAGCTTCACGTTTATCTGGCATTGACAGCTGTGCTGACTTAATGAAGGTTTGTAATTAACATGGATTTCCGCTAATGTTCGAGGCTTTTGTCTCTTAAACAGAAAGTATTAATCCCATTAGTTTGAAAGTATGTGGCAGACTCAGTTGAAACCCACAGACTCTTTGTTTAAGAGGCAGACAGTGCATAATTTGGCAATTTTTCGAAAATTGTGAAATGTTCAAAAATGTATTATAGGTGACTGACTCCATATGTAAATACAGAGTATTCTGTTGCAGTCTATTTGAACACAACTCAGAAAAAAATGCTCTCTAGGTTAACTCTGATCTCCTAATGTTTCCTTTAAATTTCCTAAGGTTGTATGTATTTGCATATTCTGTACAGTATACCCAGCAGTCCCTGTCTTGTCCTTTCTGCCTCGGTGTCCTTGTCGGATGTGAATTTCCTCCCTAATTTGAAAAATGTCTCCTGGCTGCAGATTGCCTCTGAATTGTCTATGTGTGGCAAGATTTGGTCACGCCTCCGTGAGTTCCTCTTTGCCAATTTCAATCACCTTGCCCGTGATGAAAGAGCTTATTGCTGTAAATATAAATGCCAACACTATAAATTAGATTAAAGAGAGAATACCTCACAGCCCCTTATCATTCTGATTGTTTGATTTTGGATCAATTTAATTTTCTCATAAAAAAATAACTCTGTTAATATCCATCCCCACCTCTGTCAGCCATATTGAAGTCAAACGTGATATACATATTCAGATTGTGAGTGAAAGGGATTTGCCCCGGACACTGAGTAAATAGCTGTGGCTTGAAACAGTTCACAGTCCTACTGTATACTTTCATATGATTCCTGCTCTGAAGCCATCTGCTCTCACACCTGCCTCCAGTGTTGTTACATCCTATACTATCTGATGTCAAGCACTTAATTCTCCAGCTGTTATTTACAAGTCAGTGTGAAATGTTAATACCATATTGCTAGTGTCCTTCAGCTGGATAAGGGGCTACTTATGAATGCAGGCGCGGTGTTGTTTTTTCTCTCTATTACACTTGTGTTTCCCGGGGGGCGGCTCGCAGATACGTGCATCTCAGTTTGACAGCTTTTGCTTTAGATTCATTGAACGCACCAATATTTAGGGTTTGTCAGGTGGATTCATGAGCACAGCACAAGATGAATGCAGCATTTATTTAGATTTATGGAAATGTTGATGCAGGGGGACAAAGAATCTTAGCATCTATTTTATTTCATGTTGCACAGTGTTCTCCACAAATTCTGAAATTCCCTTTAATGAATTTTAAATTATACTGTAATCACTCCAATGGCAGTCTATTGTGTTCTTTCAAAGGCACAAGATCAGATATAGTGCATCATTGTACTCAAGTTGAAAGTCAGTGGAATACTGTGTTGCTTTGTTCTTGACATCAATACTTCAGTGTCGCTTTTTTTTTTTTTTTTTTTTTTGCTTCTTTTGCTGAAAATGTGTCCCCATTACCTTAATCTGTATCTTTAGTGGCATCTGTGTTTTAATCCTGTTCAAGATAGGGCTACTTAGTGCTATCTGCTAATCAGATTCATTAACACATTTAAATCGTTGATTGATCTTTACTGAAAAGGGTTCATTCTCATGTTCCCTTGTTGAAGGTTACACAACAAATACAAACACCATTCTTGACTTCACATCCCCTCGGTCCTCTGAGCATTTCCGTAACACAAACAATTTACTGTCAGACGCTTTTTGTCCTTCAGTTCAGTGATAATAATTTGCTAGCTGTAAACACAGTTTTATTGTATATTTTCCACTGGAATCTCCAGTGGATGATTATTTCAAGACTATCCGAGCAGCTCGTTTTATCTCATCCCCAGTGAATATTTCTATTCTTGTAACCCGACACAACCACAAACATATAACCTCATGCTTAAACTTGTAGTGCAACTGTTCACACGTGAATTTGTTACTCATACCAGTATTGATTTTTGTGTCCTTTCTCGCAGGATTATGTTGTTACGGAACAATACTCTCAGAATTGTTAACTCCAGCCGAGCGGATGAGGGGAACTATGTGTGCCGGGCGGAGAATCAGTTGGGCTCAGCAGAGATGACTGCCATGCTGTGGGTAAAAGGTAAGTGATGCCCTGGGGGCCTTTATTTTCTGCCAAATTAGCACAAGTCGGCCACCAGTAAACAGTCCCCAATGTCATTTTTTCCCCCCCACCTTTGCTCGGGTGCCAGGAAATTTATTGTGCTTGCTCAACCGTGAACCAAGGGCTCTCACATTCAAGAATCATATTACAAGGACACACTTAAGCAGCATAAAGGCCTCTGTCTCAGAGATGCACTGTACACAGTCTAGATCAGAGCCAAGCAGGATATTTATCTGACAAAGGTGAGTGTTTTTGCCCAAGTTAGGGTTGGGTTCTCATGATTGCTCTGGCAGTGATGTCACAGTCGAATGCAGCTGCTTGACGCTAGCTTTTGGTTATCCTGAGGTGACAGTGTAGCAGCTTTGTGCTTCCAGAGGCCATGCGTGTGGAGCTTAGCCCGAGCAGAGTGGAAGTGACTGTGGGGGAGAGCGTGGTGCTGAGCTGCAAGGCGACACATGACACTTCACTGGATGTGGCTTTCCAGTGGTCCTTCAACCAGAGACCAATCAACTTTCAGCAGGATGGCGGCCACTTTGAATACATCCAAACAGTAAGAGCAAGAGTAAGAGTTATTCCCCTATTATTTATATTAACCTTTCTATTAACATGTCCGTCTGTGTGTCTCTGCCTGGTCTGTCTGTCATCCATTGTAGCTCCATCTGTCTGATTGTGTAATTGTTCACCTGTTTAGTGCCTTTTTTTTTAGCAGTGAACAGTGTACTTCACCAGATTTGTTGATATTGCAGATCAACCTATTACAGTCAAAATAATTCTGATGATTTCATTTGCACATTTTATGTAATGAGTTCAAGTACACCTCTCATTGCACCAAACGCTTGTTATACCTGCAAAAAGAACCATTTCGGCTAAAGGTCAGACTGCCTTGGGTATCATCAAAGACCTGCACTGAATCATATAATGGTGAATATCAACGTCTTGTCTATCGTTTTGAATTGCACCTGGGAAATTGTGTCTTTTGTGAAAATAAAAAACACTCACAAAGTCAGACTCATACTGGCTTTGAAGGGTGATGAGGGTCAAAACACAGAAGAACATTTAACATGGTGAATCTTTTTGTGAATGTGCATCATTGCTTCTGCAGACATACAACATGCACTACCATCATCTTCTTTGTCAATATTATTATTTAAATGTATGGCTTTTATGGCTTAAATCATAATCAGGACTACCTAAGTCAATATTGAGATCACAAATTGTTAACACGATTACTCGCTGACTTTGGAAAAAAAAGAGATAAATTTTTTTTTTTTTTTTTTTTTTTAAGACCCTGAAGGAGGCAGAAGAGCTGCAGACTGCAATACTCTGAGCAGCATGCATAGGAATGAGTAACAATATGATGTATTTGAATATTTCTCACTTTTTTCAGACGCTGATAGTCTGAATAAGTTTCTAAGTTTGTCATTATAGTCATTTTCATGAAAAAAGTCACCAAGAGAGTCTGAAGAGTTGATACATCTAGGGAGTAAATCATCAAGTTGGCAACACTGAGTGCACCAATGTGAAGGAAAGGGTGCACTGGATTTTTAACACAAGACAAAAACAAGAGCATCATTGCAAATTTGCATAATTATTTTACCTCAATTATCTTGTTTTCATAATCGTTGGAAGCCAAAATCATATCTGAAAATCAAATTTGATTAATCACCCAGCCCTATTACAAATCCATTCATGATAAGTGCTAATAATAGTCAGGCCCCTCCTGAATTATTGAGTGTAATTGTACCCATTCTTTCCGTTGGTCAAGGGATACAGGCTCAGGGATCTTCTGAGGAAGATGTTGTATAAGATTCTTGCGGCACTTAACAAGATCTGCACAAACACAGAGGTGTTTAACCTTTGCCTTCTTACAACATCAAGGTCACATTGTTAACCTAGGTGTCCTAGGAGATTATACAGTATGTGATGACAGAAACAAGAAAATATTATCACACTGTAGCATGATTATTCTAAACGTCACTTGTACACTAACTGAATTGAAATGGTCATTTTATCGTCAACGAGCTTGGTTTGGTATATTTTTTCACAAAGTCTTACATTCCCCCTCTCCATAATACAGAAAAATTCATTAGCACCTAAACCATAAAATGAAGTTGGAAACAAATTTGCAGGAGAGCAGGGAGTCCTCTTTATGTTCCTTTATCAACACTAGATGTTAAAACCACATCTGTCCTGATGTGTCCTCTGCTACTACCCAGGCTCTGGAGAGAAAGTATTTGCAGTGACAATTCTTTACAGGCACAACAGATTCCTGGCTGATGCATGGTTTGTAATTTTAATCAGGTTTCGTGCTAAACAGCTGCCTGTAGACCTTGAATTATTCCCAGTCTTGCCTCGGGCGTTTCTCATTTCAAGAGAGAGAAAATACGGGTAGCTGAAGAATGTAGCGGCAAGCAAGCACCTGAATTAAACAGGAATCTCTCAAGCCACATGAGCCTCTACAAGATGTAAAGGAATCACACTTTCTTGTGTCAAGCACATTTAGGCTTGCTTAATACCTACCCTTTTTTTTTTTTTTTTTTTTTTTTTTCTTCTTTCCCATTTGCAGCAGTCCTCCACGGTGGATCTGATGATTAGGAGCATTTTGTTGAAGCATGCTGGGAAGTATGGGTGCCGGGCCCAGACCAGTGCTGACACTGTATCTGCAGAGGCTGAGCTCCTTGTCCGAGGTAAGCTTGTGATGTGTCGGTGCACCAGTCCTGTACGCTATGACAACTTGGTCACCCTATCATCAGGGCAGTGACCCACTTAAACTGAACCGCTACCCTCAAACAGAATGCACATCTTATTCTCATACTGAATATTCTTAGAGGGTTTAGTCCAGTGGAAATGGACACAAGATAATAATTGATTTTTTTTTTTTTTAAAGATTATTTTTGTGGGCTTTTTGCCTTTAATGACAGGACAGAGAGTGAAATGGGGAGACAGAGAGAGAGTGGGGACTGACATGCAGCAAGTCAGATTCGAACCCGCGGCCGCTGCAGTGAGGCAATGCCTCTTTACATGGGGCGCCGGCACTATCCACTACGCTACCGACACCCCATAATAATTGATTTTTTTTGGTTTCTGTGAATTTGTGAAATTGGTCCCAGTTTGTTACAAGTGCAGCAGCTTTGGGAGATTTGTTAATTATATCAGACATTAGAAATGTTCTCCTGTTGGAGAAATTGCACAGTGACTATTTCTACATTATCGGCCCCCTTTCGACCTTTCGATCTTGACTAATTTTTTATAGTCACTGTGAGTATGGCTGGACAGACGGTCTGTCTGCATGATCAACTTTAATATGTGCTGTAAAACGGAACGGCTGAAGTCTTGTGATCACATTCTGTGGCTGTTTCTGACCGTTGCTGATTATGTGATGTAACGATTATTGTCCGCACAGCTCCTGGTCACGTCCTGGTCTGTGACTCATCCTATTCTTTTGTCCTTTAACATTACCTGACAGTTTTATAAGAACCAGCCATCCAACCAGAACAAAATGGAGTTTTGTTTTGCTTAATGATTGAATAAAATACAGCTCTGCAATAATTCAGTGTAATTCTTAATTAACTTTCAGAGGAGTTGTGTTGAAACAATGATGACAGTGTCATTGTTTTACAAAAATAATTATTGATTCCACATAAACTGTTATGAAAAATGTTTCACATTTCATTTTACTCTGTATTTTTCTTTAATCATTTAGGTTATTTGCCAAATACTTCAAAGGAATGCTTTGCCAATTTTCAACCAGTGGCCACTATGTGAAAATGAACTGTGGTAAACTTACCACTACCCAGATCTCCCAGCTCATCTCTCAGCATAAATTCGCTGGAGGATGCCAAACGTGAAAAAGAATATAGAAGCAAATAGAGAGAGATTCGCCTTTTTAGTTCTCAAACACAGACCAAACTCAGATCAAACTCTAAAACTAGGCAGTGCTGATCAAATATGAATGAAGATTCAGTTTCTGTATTGCCTATTTTTCACCTAAAGTGTCTTGAGAAACATATTTTAGTGCACTGATCAGACGTTAAAACTTAACAGTGCTGATCAAAGATGAACCAAGATTCTGTGTTGTCGATTTCTCGCAGATGTTTTCAGAAACAAATTTTAGCTTACAATTTAAACTGTAATTCAAGATTGTTTCTTAGCAGACAGCTGCCATATTGCTTCCTGTGTCACAAGCTCACATTACATCACCCGCCAGTGGGAGCGTTTATTGGTCCAGTGTGGGGCAGTGCAGTTCTAGCAGTTGTAGGTTTTCTACCTCTTGAGTTAAAGCAAATGCCACAGCCCTTTCCTCTGATTCCTCTGGTCATACGGCACCAATTTCAAAACTATCTGGGTCTTTCTACTACATAGACAGCCCAGGTTTATGAAAGGACCATCATTCCTGCAGTGAAATACTTCTTTAATGTATGTATATTTATTCCAGAAATGTTCATATTAATATATTGTGACATCAGCGTCCACCATATGACCCACCTCCATAGTAGCTGATGTATTTAATGATTGTCATTTAACATTAAGCTCTAATACAGGGGAGGATTTATGCCATGGTGTTGGGCACACTAAAAAGAGAGTACTGTTCTTATAGTGACACAAAATGCATCTTAATGTCCCGAAATGCAAATGCACCTTTCAGTGCAACCTTCTAATGGGCACTTTTTGGGGACACAGTACATTGGTTTTCATTGAGCGCACCAGCTGCCAGCTTTTCATTTACAGCTGTTCCCCCTAGAGTCCTTAGACGTTTGCTGCACTTGCAGATTACATTTACTTCTGAAGACTGAGGTAAACATATGTTCAGCTGTATTAAAACACAGGAGGGTCTACCACACAGTCATGCTCAGCAGAACTGGCAAAGTGCCTCCAAAGCCCCCCAAAAAAGAAAGCTTCAGTATTCCTGAATCGGCATGAAATCCTTGGCAGCAGATCTGTGTCAGCCCGAATCCTGGTTCAGTTTAGTGTGTCGTGTTCTTGGCTTTTGTTTGTTTGTGCAGAGATTACAGCAGAGGATTGATGTTGTCACCATATGCACACAGCTGCACATCCTCTTAATGCTTGCATGGTTGCATCCATTAGTGTATCTAATGGCAACAATGCATGATGAAGACATCACAATATGGACCAACTGGGAATTGATTCAAACATTAACAGCGATTGTTTTTACTCTTGTGTCATGAAATTCCTGAAGCATTTGTGCTTCAAACCTGAAATCTAATCTGTGTCTCCTAACCCTCTTTCACCAGGTCCCCCTGGACCCCCTGGAGTGGTGATAGTGGAGGAGATCACTGATACCACAGCCACCCTGTCCTGGACTCGTGGCTTGGATAACCACAGCCCTATCAGCACCTATAATTTACAGGCCCGCAGCCCATTTTCATTAGGCTGGCAAACTGTCAAAACAGGTAATCAATAGGGAGCAAGTTGCAGCCTGTAGATCTGTGAGGTTAATGTGGAGCTGTATACAAAGGCCTTAATCCTGCCCAAAGTCATGTACAGAAATGGTGAATCAGCCCAACAAGAGCAAGGTTACTGGTTTCAAGAGACACAATTTAATTCGTGTGGCAAGGTACATTCATATATTACAGCTTTTTTTCTGATTGGTTAGGCACTATCTTTGAAACTATAGGCTATTGTATTGCAAAACCCTACATACTAATCACAAAACCTCTCACTAAACCAGCAACACAGTACACATATCTTACAAAAGCAAGCAACCCTTTTTTTAAGATGATATAAATTAAAAACACTTGTGCTTTTTGTTTTTTCTGTGTGCAGGGCAAAGAGCTTTGTCATACAGTTGCACGCAAAAGCTTGGGCACCCCTGATCAAAATTGTATTTACTGTGAATAGTTAAGCAAGTAAAAGATGACCTGATTTCCAAAAGACAGTAAGTTAAAGATGGCACATTTCTTCAATATTTTAAGCATTTTTATTTTTTATTTTTATTTTTTACAGTTTTAAAATAACAAAAAAGAAAAAGGGCCTGACGCAAAAGTTTGGGCGCCCTGCATGATCAGTGCTTAGTAGCGCCCCCTACTGCAAGTATCACAGCTTCTAAATGCTTTTTGTATCCAGCTAAGAGTCTTTCAGCTCGTTCTGGGGATTTTCACCCATTCTTCCCACTAAAGGCTTCTAGCTCTGTGAGATACTTGGGCCGTCTTGCATGCACTGCTCTTTTGAGGTCTATCCACAGGTTTTTGATGATGTTTATGTCAGGGGACCTTCAGCTTGTGCCTCTTGATGTAGTCCATTGTGGGTTTCAAGGCGTGTTTAGGTTCATTGTCCTGTTGTAGAAGCCATCCTCTCTTCATCTTCAGCTTTTTTACAGATGATGTGATGTTTGCTTCCAGAATTGGCTGGAATTTAACTGTATCCATTTTTACTCTACCCATGAAATGTTCCCCATGCCACTGGCTGCAACACAAGCCCAAAGTATGATTGATCCACCCAAGTGTTTAACAGCTGGACAGGTGTTCTTTTCATGAAATTCTGCATCATTTTATCTCCAAACATACCTTTGTTCATTGCATCCAAAAAGTTATTTTTTAACTTCATCAGTCCACTGAACTGGTGTCCAGAAATCATCAGGCTTGTTCAGATGTTCCTTTGCAAACTTCTAATGCTGAATTTTGTGGTAAGGACACAGGAAAGGTTTTCTGATGACTTTTCCATGAATATCATATTTGTTCAGGTGTCGCTGCACAGTAGAACAGTGCACCACCACTCCAGAGTCTGCTAAATCTTCCTGCAGGTCTTTTGCAGTCAGACAAAGGTTTTGTTTGCCTTTCTAACAATCCTACGAGCAGCTCTCTCAGAAAGTTTTCTTGATCTTCCAAAGCTCAACTTGACCTCCACAGTTCCTGCTAACTGCCGTTTCTCAATTACATTACACACTAAGGAAACAGCTACCTGAAAACACTTTGCTATCTTCTTATAGTCTTCTCCTGCTTTGTGGGCTTCAGTTATTTTAGTTTTCAGAGTGCTAGGCAGCTGTTTAGATGAGCCCATGGCTGCTGATTGTTGGGACAAGGTTTCAGGAGTCAGAATAGTCATAAAGCTTTGAAATTTGCATCACCTGGCCTTTCCTAATGATGATTGTGAACAAGCCAGAGCCCTAACAAGCTAATTATGGTCTGAGATGCTGGTAGAAGTTATCTTTTTGTCTGTGCCCAAACTTTTGCATGGTGCACCTCTCATTCTTTCACTCTAATATTGTACAAAACAGAAGTTAATGCAGTTGTCTTGCTTAAAATGTTGATCATCCTTAATTTCATGGTTTTTGGAGATCAGTTTATCCTCTACTCGCTTTCCTGTTCACAGTGACCAGGGATGGCCAAACTTTTGCATGCCACTGTACATTTTTTTATGGGTCTGACCTTAAGACTCCATTCACATCTCTCTGTCCACCATTCTGTCACCTTCAAATGTTTACATGGGGCCTATTTATAGTGCTCTAGCTCTGATATGTAAGAACTCATTAAACTCATCTAAAAGTGTTTTCCCATGGGTCAATGTGGAAAGGCAATTGGCAACAATGTAGAAACCAGTGTTCATACTTTAGCTTTAGTGAGTTATTAAATCACTAAAGCTGCAGCTCCGTCCCCTAGAGATTATGGTTGTATACCACTAATTTGAAACAGCAGATATGTTTTGAGAGAAATATAACATATTGATATTATTAACATAATGAGGAAACATTGCTAATTAATGTATCTGGCAAGTCGCAAAAGTAACACGTTCACTGACAACATATTTTAGTTGCTTTTTTCCAACACAGGCAGTCTTGCAGCACGGTATCCACTCGTAATGGCTACAGCATTACTTTTATATTTATATTTTTTTATTAACATTTAACCAATATCACAATATTTCCTTAAACTTAACCAGAGTGCTTTTGTTGCCTTAATCTATGACCGGAATCTGGACGTGAACCTGAGGATATGGTGTCAAGGCAATTAGTACGCCTGCCGTGCTCCACAATCATCGTGCTCCTTCCAATCCTTTCAACATGGTACCTGAATGTACTGTTTATTTACCTGAAAGAAACGACCCTGAACATAATCCAGGCAGCGATTATGTTGCCACAACAACATAATTAAGAAAGCAATTTAGTGACATGCAAACATAATTTCTAGGTGACAGGGTTGAAAGTCGTAAATGTGTACGTATTCAGTGTGGCACACTTGGTAAATGCATTGGCTACAAGTGTAAATTCAGAGACAGTGCTTCAGGAATCACTGTGTGTGAGCATACAAAAAAAAGAACACTGTAACACAGTCAGACTTTTAAATCCAGAAAGTAATGGATCAAGTGTCTTACACTGTTGCTCCAGAACAAGGCTTTCTTCTCAGATGCCTGTTTGAGGAGTTATAATGCAGTTCTCTCTCCGGCTGTCATTTTGTGTCTGAACTTGGCTGTTGTTCAGAAGAGCTTAGCAAAAAGTAATTTGAGCCGATATCAAATGCCATTGATTTGAATTTTATTCAGTGTCATATCAGCGGTTAGTGGGAAATTAACCTTTTGGGCTTGAATTATAAGACTTCTCCATTTTCATTTGGTGTAGATGCACTTTTACTGCTTAAAAATGAATCAGCTTCCTTTTTTCCTGTACCTTGACAGAAAAACCATTAATTACTATCACTTAGCGTTAAAGGATGAAGGCTTGCTAAGCATTGTGTGTAATCCATCTTAATATGCCGTGTGATAATAATAGCAGAGTTTAAGGTGTGATAATGATTCATCCCCACAGATATATAAATCATACTTTGTATACACTCCTCTCACATCACGTCTGTTCAACCACATTTAATTTGATAAAGCACAATTAGGACTCTGTGATGTATTGTCAGTGTTGAACTTGTTAAGATTAGCATAAAGGGGATCGGGCTTTTAGCTCCCACTCCTTGCAAACAGAGTTATCGGCTCATGTTTGAAGAGCAGCTCGCCTAACAGAGTGGTCTCATCGTGAGCTGCTTTGGATGATAAGAGTGTAAGCTCCTCGGCTCCACTGAATGTTGCCTTAGTTAGCACAGAGAGACCTCTGGTTCATTTGTGACACAGATATGCTTTCAGTCAATGTTTGTTTGTTGTTGCAGGATCAATATTGACGAAGCTTGATTATGGCGGCCCTGAAGAAACCAGATTAGTTGTGTTACCTGCTTGTAATTCTGTTCCAAAATACATTCATAAATCTTGACTTTTTCCGTCTCAGGGTGTGATTTATAATTACATAGCTCTCTACGTCTTCTGTAGATACTGTGAAAATTGATTAAAATCAGCTTCCCTCTATGTAATGAGTTGTTCTTCCTAATGTGCTCTAAAGCTGCAAGTAAGCTGTTGTTCAGGCATCAAAACAACATCATATACCAGGTTTCAAGTAAATTGCACATCTCCACCACCTGGTGTAAAAGTATGCCAAGTCACAGTGAATCTGGAGGGAAGGCGTAATGCTCTGCAGTTCTTAAGAACTAAGACAATTGTATATTTATTTGTTTTCTGGCTCTGTACTCGAGCATACGGGATTTGAAATGAAACAATGGCTATAAAGGTTAAAGTGTCAACTCACAGCTTTTGCACAAACATTGTAGGAATTGTCCTCCAGTTTTAGGGAACAGAAAGTAATTGGACAAGTCGACACAGTCTTGAAGTCATTATATAAAGTCATCATATTTAATCGTATATAATCCTGTGCAGTTAATGACTGCCTGTAGACTGCAGCCCACAGACAGCAGCAGATACTTGGTATCTTCCCTGGTGAGGCTCTGCCAGCCATCTTCACTTATTGCTTGTGTCAGTCTGGCCTAGAGCAGCGAAACACCTGCTCAGTTGGTTGATGAAGGTCAGGCAACAGAACTTTCAAATGTTCAGCTATGAAAAGAATAAATCTTTATTACCTTGCCTGTACGTTAAGCATCATTGTCCTGCCACATTGTTGTTTTGGTAGACTTCATATTAAAGTGTGTATGATTCTTACACTCAATGTGAATCTGAACATTTTCAAACAGTCAGGCCTCATGTAGGGGCCCGATTTAAGAGCGAATGTGGGGTGCTTGTAGGATTGACATCGTGTGGTGTTTGTTCATGAGATGGTGGCACTGTCACAGAGACTTTAAGGGGTTGCAGAAATATGTACTGTACGTGCGTTTTTATCCCAAGCCATCACATATATCTATATTTGCTTGGAAAACCCCCAAATTAAGATATTTTTACACACACACACGCACACACACACACATATGAACTGGCTTGTGGCGGCCAAGCGTTTATAACAACGTTGCTTTTTGATCCTTTTATGCCAGCTCTTCCTATCTTTGGAAAGCAGAGTTCACCAAGCGTTGGATTGTTCGCCCACTAATAGGGAAGAGAAGCCTGTGGAATACTGGGAGAACATTAATGTGGTCGGACAAGACAAAATTCTTACTTTTCTGCAAGTGGTGCAATGTACCATGTTTGGAGGAGAAATGGCCCTGCATATGACTTAAAAAATACCACAACTGCATTGTAGCTTTGAGGTGGAAGCATCATGGTATGGAGCTGTTTCTCTTGTTGTGGTACCAGCAGAATCCAAATTATCAAAGGGAAAATGAAGGCAGCCATGTACCAGGAATTTCTTGAGGAATTCTGTTGACATCCACCAGGATGGTGAGAATAAGACACAGGTGGACCTTCCAGCAGGATAACAATCCAAAACATACTGCAAAGAGGACTCTCACCTGGTTCCAGAGGGAGAAAATAAAGGTGTTGGAATGGCCCAGTCAGTCACCAGAAGATGACCTGAAGATGAAGATACATCAGTAGACCCTCAGAATCTTCTGGATTTAAAGACTGTGTGTGGAAGAATGGACCAAAAGAACACTGTGAGAGCTTGATTTCCTTATACAGGAAGTAGCTTACAAGCTGGCGTTGTAAAGAAAGGCTTCTTCACCGATTACTGAATACATTTCAGTTGCTGTGCTCAATAATTTTTCCCGCATTATTCCACTTTATTGCACATGACTTTGTTTTACAGATTGTAATGTTACAATTTTCTTATCTGTGTAGTATTGTTGAGTTAATATCAATATCTGCTGTAAATTTCATCTTAATAGCTGCCATGGAAATATGTTTAATGAGAAAAATATTGATGCTTGAATACTTATTTCCCCACTGTATTTACATGTAGTTTACAATGTTAATATGTCTAAGCACCGGTGAATATTTGGGTTTAATCAGGTTCAATCCATCCCTTACATAATCAAACAAGAGTTACTATTACCAAAGGACAAATGCTTCAACAAAGAAACCAGCCACTATCCAGCTGCAGTGGTTCTGTCCTTCTACTGGTGGAAGTTGGCAATACTAATAAGGTATAACCAGTCATGTGCAGCTTGGAGAGGCTGCACAGAATGCTGTCCTTCCAAGAGAAAACTGAACTGCTGCCTAGCGACATCTCTTGCTGCATTCACTTGCACTTTGCGCTCAGACATTGAGGTTTCACTCTTGTAAATTTCCAACCAGCCACAGCTTTTCATATTTATCTTTTTGCATGTCAGTGTTTGGGAAAGGTGGGGCACATTTTTAGTTTAGATGAGTGAAACATAGCCTAGCCAGCTTTCACACACCCTTAAAGCTGTATCGGCACTCACAGCAGTGTTTGTCCCATGTGCTGTACATAATGTGGACAAAAGTACAAGAGATTTTATGTGGTCTTACCCTGATTAAATAAATACATAAGCTTTGCTCTTGTCTGCAGACCCAGACCCAGTGACAGGGGACATGGAGTCAGCCATGGCTGTGGAGCTCAACCCCTGGGTGGAATATGAGTTCAGGGTGGTGGCAAGCAATGCAATCGGGACCGGTGATCCCAGCGCGCCTTCAAGAGGAGTTAGGACAAAAGAAGCAGGTAAATCCTCTGAGCCATCAATTTGCTACGTGCACTACATGCTAGTCACATTTTGGCAGACATAAGCAATCACCCAGAGTCTAGAAACATATTATATAATATGCTGAGTGCTGCTGATTTATTGTAGCTGGAGAGCTGAAAGTAGCTGGTGCCCCCCACATGCCACTTCATGACCATGTTATATTCCCATTGTTAATATACTTGGTTTTAATTGGGCAAAGGGGTTGAAAATAAGCCGCTTACATGAATTTCAACCAGTTTAGTGTTTCTGCTAAAGCTGCCTGTCCTTTAATGCCCCGAGGCAAAGACACAGCAGAATTCACTATTTATGGTGAGCAGAAATTGACTGAGACAGTCTGGATCAGGCATGCCGCTTCACTAACTGCTCGTTTCTCGTCTATAAAATGTAATAATTACAAAGGTCAGTGGTCATTTGGAAGAGGCTTATTTAATGTGTCCTATCTCTTCAGCACAATTAACCGACTAATTATCGAAGCTACACACAGTTGTGGTAATTCATCCTTAAAGATATAATCTGTGATCCAAATGTCAACAAAAAAGTGCGAAATTCAAAATACAGCGATGAGAGCTGTCATTACCACTCTCTGTTTGACTGACAGGTAGTTTAATGCAGGCACACACACCAGACAATAACTGGGTTTCTGATATTTTCTGATGCTGTTAAAGGTTTGTTTACTCCAGCAAAACACATCATTAAAACTGTTTTATTTTCAGTTATGATCTGTTGACTCAAAAAGTGCTTTTTTAAATCATTAAGACAAACTTAATTAATCAAATCCAAGTTTAGCTCAAATTGTGTAGTCATAAAGGACATGGACTGCTATCTGAAAATATTTCTTCTGCATTTTCACCTTTTCTTTCTTTCAAAAACACATTGAAGTGAGTTTGCAGTGTTGGTTCAGTGATGCATTGTTAACCTTTCTGTTTCACACAGTCCCGTCAGTGGCACCAGCAAATGTAAGCGGAGGGAACGGCCGCAGGCATGAACTGGTCATCTCGTGGGAGGTAGGGTTCTCTGCCAAACTCTCTCTGAAACACAGGCGTGACGACATATGTGCAAAAACACAAATGTCACCATGGTGTTTCAGTTAAGCAAGCTTGGATTATTGTTGAATAAACAGGAGTTAGTGAAAGCTTTTATTTAGTCTGCTCTCACTTAAAAAATAATCTTTGCCATTCCCAGTTGTATCTGTGGATGTCAGCTGCATGACATTTGAACTGTGGAATGTTTTCAAAACTCCTCAGTGATCATCTTATCTACATGCTGTGTGAGAGAGGGCTTCAAGGTCCTCGAAATTCAAGATGCCTCCTCTACAGAACATTCTCTCAGTTTCTAAAGAAACTGAAGCAGAAACTGCCACAGGTCATGCATTAATTATACTGGAATTCAAATCCTAATTAGAATTATTAGCAAGCGTTCACTAAAGTTTCCAGTATAATTTGAAGACTTTGGATGTGAAACTTTACCATCTGCAATCTAATTAAAATGCGAAAATAAATGTCATTCCAGTCAATAGATTAGATCAACATTTCGAATGCTCGCTCATAATGAGAACCTGTCTTGAATGTGTGTGTCAGTGTGTCAGTGTGTTGCATTATGTAAACAGAACCATGGTTACAGTCTCATGACCCCAACTAAAGATGTTACTCATTCTCTGAAAGAGGAGATGCTCAGGGATCAGTTGCTTTCAAGTCATTTCTTTTTTGCCATCTGGTGTGTAAACATGAGACCAAATTTCAGATTTATTTTTTCAAGCAATATTTCATGGAAAGACCATGATTCACCTCACTCCTTTCACTTCAACTCAACAAAATCACCTTGTGCAGTGTAGTTCACAGTCTCTGTTATCTGAAACCAAGCAGCAACCTCTGGGGCTAAAAATTGAGCCAATGTAGAAGTGCCAAAAGTTCCTCAAATGTCCACTTGAAGCTGGCTTCAAGAATGAGTCAATCCCCATCGACCCCTGTGTTAAAATGCCCAGCTTTACAGCAGAAATAAAAATGTTTACACATGTTCACATTTTAGCTACGCAGGGGGTGCATTTTTATATAACTCACCCATTTAAATGTTATTAAGAGTTGAAATTATGCTAACCGCTATAAGTGACAGGTGGGTTTTGTCTGTCTTGACAAGCTGCTACCACAGCAACAACACTGGTTAGGTAAGGTTAACATGGCACAACCTCAGACTCACAGAGTATGGGCAAAGGTGCAGCTGTCAGCATTTGTTTTTATATAATGAAAGTTAATTGTAAGGTTGGAGAATGGAGCCTGAGATGGATCTGTGGTTTGGTGCAGCGTCTGCAATGATGCGGGTGCTGTGCTGGACCGTCATGGTGAAGAGAGAGCTGAGCCAGAAGGCAAAGCTTTTGATATACTGGTCCATATACGTCCCAACCCTCACCTATGGTCATGAGCTCTGGGTAATGTCCAAAAGAATGAGGTCACGGATACAGGTGTCTGAAATGAGTTCCCCTTAGAAGGGTGGCTGGGCTCAGCCTTAGAGATAGGGTAAGGAGCTTAGACATCCAGAGGGAGTAGAGCTTGGAGTAGAGCCGCTGATTTTTGCGTCAAATGGCGTCAGTTGAGGTAGTTCAGGCATCTGATCAGGATGCCTTCCGTTAGAGGTGTTCCAGGCATGTCCAACTGGTAGGAGGCCCCTTGGCAGATTTAGAGCACGCTGGAGGGAGTACATATCTCGTCTAGCCTGGGAACACCTTGGGATCACCCAGTAGGAGCTTGAAAGCATTGCTGGGAGAGGGACATCTGGAATACTTTGCTCCCACGACCCAGCTTTGGATAAGCAGTTGAAAATTGATGGATGGAAGGTTTTGTTTGCCTAAAAAAAGTCTTGTTCAGCGGTTGGTTGTACTAAGAGACCCTGTAAGGAGTCAGATATTTCATTTTCTTCAGTGAGTACATAAGTTTAATGGTTTTAAGCCTGTTTTTCTCAAGCCGAAAAAAGTATTAGCTTTTTGAAACAGTCAACTGTACCTGTAAATGCATCATGCTAACCAAGCTAGCAGCTAGCACTGGGGTTATCTCCACCCTCTCATCCAAATATGGTCACTTCTGGCTCCAAAACACCAAGATGGTGACAGTCAAATGCCAAACTCAAGGTTTCCAAGCGTGAGTCCACAAATCAATGGGTGACGTCACAGTGGCTACGTCCATTATTTTATAAAGTGTATGTCTGAAACAAAAAAGATGATAATAGTATGCATGCTTGAGTCCTGTAGGCCAGACTGAAGAAGGAACTTTCTCAACCTTTCCTGCTCATGGACCTCTGGAACAGAGCAGTGCTTGCAGTGCTGAAAACCCCGAAAAGCCAAAGCACAGAATGATGATGATTATTAGAATTTTTACATTATTAAATATGGGAAGAAACCTATAGGGTGTAAATATTCATCATTTAACTTGTGAAAGTTATTACTCACCAAGATTAAAAATGTGATAATAAATGTGTATGTTCAGTGAAATCATTATCACCCAACTGCTGCTAAGAACATTTGTGAACCTGCAGGTTGAGAATTACTGTAATCCATGAGTGAAAACAAGCCAGCTGAAACAAGGTTCCCTTTAAACATCCGTGCTGAAACAGCTCTGCCATTGTTCCCTCAGGAATTGAACTGTCACTAAGTAATAAATCCTGCATGTGAATGTGACTTAATAATCATGTAGAGGTTGCTACTGCATGCGCAATTCATTAAAAACCTTCACTTTTTGTTGCCTGGGAATACTTGTCAGACGTTATTAAGGGGGATAAAGCATGGTTGATGGACGACGCTAGTCCTTGTGGTTTCTAAGCTTGAAGGAAACGGTTTAATGATTTTAAGATATACAGATGATTGCATTAGTTTACAGTCAGTTGCATTCACTTGAGGTGAGATATGATGAGTAGCTGCTGCAGTTTCGCTCAGAGTGTTCTAGGGACCTGCGTGTGCTTGCCGTCCTATTCCCAGAACCATCAAAGTGGGATCTAATTAAAACATAGAGGAAAGTTTCAGACACTCGAGTGAGAAAAATGATGAGAGGAGTCTGGAGATGTTCTTAAAAGGTAGGAAGACAGATGTGTTGAGGGACTTGCTGGTGTATTTAAAGAGCAGAGTTCAGCATATGAGGCTGGCATCATCTGAGGTCACGCAACTTCCTTTTCCGAACACTCAGTGTGGCGTACATCTTCCTTAGGGAAAAGCCTAAAAAATGAAAAACTTTTTGATCATCGTTTTTTTTATTTTTATTTTTTTTTAATGAAAACAAATTGATAAATTATTAGTATTTTTTTGTCCAAGGAATTATTTGCCTCGAATTTGCAAATAGACATTGATTGGAGTTCTTGACTGTGATTTTTCTCATTTATATTTTTGTGGTTTTATCTAATTATCTCAGCACTAAAGTCTGGTGTCTTCTCATCAGCATAAAACTAAAACAATCAAAAGTAAGTAAAAGAAGAGTAGAGTGGGGCGAGAAGCAAGGAGGTCATGTTCCAAAGAAAATGTTAAACTAGCAACTGTCTAAATTGCTGCATTTAGCACAGTGTGGTGTTTGAGATACAAGCTTTAGTCAAACTATCAATAGTGACTGTATGCTGTGACTGAATCTGGCTTTGGTCAGCGTTCCCTTGTCTTTATGTCTTGAGGTGTTGCTGAATGATTGTTCCAACATTTGAGAAGCATACACTCAGCTATAAAGGGAGTACACATACAGTTCCATACTGTAATGTTATCTCTGCAGCAGATAAATGTGATCGCAGCGCAGCTGTAGAAACAAAGGTAAAATAGCCCAGGTGTGGATGCACTCCACTCTCAGGAAGCCTTGACCCGTCTGACAGAAAAGGGCAAGAGAGATGCACATTATGTCCAGTGGGATAATACAAAGGTTGAGGTTACAGCCTTTACAGATATCTGATTTCAGGAGAAAGGGTCATGTGAGGGGGCTCAGGTGAGCGCCCATCATTAGGACAAAGGGAGCTTTTTCTTCCATTTGAGAGGGAAGACACGGTCAACCTATCTGCTGCAGTATTCTACATGATTTTCTTTGATTTGCTTTTACTGAATTTTATTCCTACATTGGAGGGTATGAGCAGGTCGAGGCTGGAAGAAAGGCTTCGACTGTTCCAATGAGGGAGCAAACCAGAGGGGGAAGTGCTTCAGTCCACTCAGGTAGGATGCTTTTCCCCAAGATCAAAGGTTGAAGTGGCTATTGCAAGGATGAAGCACCTGTGTGAGATAAAGATTTAACTATATTGTGCTCAAGGGAAATACAGGCAGGGTAGCAGTGAATAATTCAATACAAGCATTAGTATAACAAATAAACCCTATTCAAATGAATACAACTATAAAAATATTTTAATTATTAAAGACAAAACTGAAATTGACTTGAAAAATGACTGTTAAAAGATTATTGGTTATCTATTGATGCACTTTACACATAATGTATTGTGTTTTCAATGTCTGTCAGTGGCTGTCCTGACTGTAAGATTTGTAGCAGATTTGTTGAACTTCACGTTTCAACCACACTGTGATCAACATGCGGTTTGGTTTGGCACAAAAAGCACTTGGCTATGGTGAGGAAAAGATTATATTTTGGCCTAAAATACACAGTTTTTCCTCTGTAAAAAAATATATTTTTGTGACACTATCTACGCAGGAAATGCTGCAGCAATGTTTTGGTAAAAAAACAGTTGCTTTTTCTGGCACTATCCCTGGTGAAAAAACAGTGACGGGTTGTAAAAAAACACCCATGTTTGGTTGCTAAAAAGCAGCTGGAAACAGCAATGACTCCCAACACAAGCAGGTTTGTTGTTTGTTGCTCTCGAAGAGCGGTCTGCAGCTTGGCAGATGTCTAACATAGGTGACATACATCCACCATCCCCTCCACCTCTTGATGACAAAGACATATCCATCATTTGCTGTAATGTGCAATGCCAACATTTTCTTTTGGTGACTGGGTTGGATTTAAAGAGCTTGTGTCCAAGTGTTGTTAGTTTTGCAGATTGTCCTTACAAGCAGGGCAAAAACTCATGCTTTATCACTAACAGCAGCACAACCCCGGGATCACAGCTCATTGCATTTTAAACAGGGTCCCATTTTATTCTGTTGGAAATTTGTTTAACCATCCAGGGTCTCAGAGTTTGAGGGCACAACTTGGACACGTCTGCAGAATTTGCTGACAAAGCCCAAAGAAGGCCAGCTGGGCCGTGTATTACACAGAGCTGCATCAGCCGGGCCAGTGATTAAGATGTTGTGAATTTTAAATTTGGTCCCGCCAGAGAGGCACAATGATGATTAACCTTGAATCCCGGAGTCGTTCCCAATATATCCAGGGATGTTTATGAATATCTGTTTGTAACCTCAATCTTGACGATGGTTGTACAAAACCTAATAACTCTCACACCAAGTAAAGAGGATATTAGTGTGAACTGTTTCCAAGTGGACAGCTTGGCTCTCAGCCAGGTTCAGGGCACAGCATGTACAGAATTACTATGAGCAACACCGAGAATTTGCAATTGAGATCAGTTGAAGGATATATTAACAGGGGAACAGTGAACAGATGTGGAAGCAACTGACAGTTATTCTTGTAGTTATTAAGTATGGGAGCCCAACTGCCACTGGGAAGATAACCTTCACATGAGGAGAAGTGCCCCTCAGTGGCACATTATGGGGGATAATGTCCATTCCAGATGGGATGGTGTTTGGTGGGAGACCATTTCCTGTTTATAAATGAGAGTTATACTATATAAAGAGTGTCATTAGAGTAGCTAGTATAACACAATGACGACCTCCTTATAAATAAATGCAGGACCCCATGTTGGAGGAACAATCAAAGGATACTTAAAGTGACTCAAAACCCCAATTGGAGCTGACTTGGATATAAAACCCAAATAAAGAGTGCTTTGAAGCCACACATTAATTTGACTCATTACAAAAAGTTATTCTTGGCCAAACAATTTCTTTCTTAAAGAAGTATTTTACAGTGGGAAAGATTTCATAAAGCTGGGCTGTCTATGCAGTAGAAAGATGCAGATACTTTGAATATTGGTGCTGCATAACAGGAGAAAATAAAGGAAAAGGGCTGTGACATTTGATTTTGCTCAAGAGGTGGAAAACCTTCAACAACAAGAATGCACCCACCTTCTGGTGGGTGACATAATGCAAGCTTGTGCATTTTGACCATAGACTGTATCAAAAAATGGATGTACTGTAGCTACCATGACAGCACATTACTGACATTTTGAAGCCTCGAGCTCAGCATGTCAGCCATTGCCATCTTGTCATGTCTGAGCCAGAAGTGACCATATTTAGATTAGTGGGTGGAGCTGTGGTAGAGCGAGGGATGAATCTGACTCATAGGCTGTAGCGATGCCTCGCAGACAGCCTGTCACGCAGTTGTCCTGAAGGGCAAAATTAGCTATGGAAACCAAAACTGTACTAGGCTGTAAACACCTTTATTTCTGTGGTAAAGTTGGGCCTTTAAACATAGGTTTATTTGCTTCTGGAGCCAGCCTCAAGTGGCCATTTGAGGAACTGCAGTTTTTGGTACTTCCACTTTGGCTTCCTTATGCAGCCCCCAAGGTTCCTGCTTGGTTTTGACACAGGGAACAATGTGGCGGCCGGGTGGTAACAAATTATCTCAGATTACAGTTAAATGGTAAGCTAAAATGTGTTTTTAAACATTTCAGGCGAGAAATAGACAACATAGTGACATAATCTTGACTCATATTTTATCAGCGCTGATTATTTAAACCATTTTATGCCAGTTATTTCAGCTTTCATTTTTACAGTACAGGAAACAATATGGCGCCCGCTTCCTGTTCATGAAATTTTTATATAACAGCCAAATAGTGCAAAAAAATATGTTTCTGAGGACATTTTAGCAAGAGATAGGTGGTACAGTAGTAGAATAGATTTCTATTTGATCTGCACTGCTTAGTTTTACAGTTTGATTGGATTTTGGTCTGAGTTTGAGAGAGAAAGAGGGGGGGGGCGGGTCCCTCTCTCGATCCGCTTTTACACATGGTGGCATGTATAGGAAAATGCAGGAGCACAATCTGTAGTTCAGGCAACAGCCATGGATGTAATGATCGGCACTGCTTCCACATTGTGTGACCAATAGAGCAGGCACACTAGAAACTTCTGTTCTGGTTCTGGTTAAGTGCTTTGCTAACTTGAATGGGGATAAAATGCTTCAATCGTGTGGCTCTTCTAGGCTTTTAATGTTATTGTTTGAATGGATCAAATCCTGATGGTGAAACAAGTCATTTTGTGGGGGTTTTGAGGCTCAAAGAAATGTATCCACTAATTGTTAGACGTCTCTTTTGCCATGCAAGTTAATGGGGGAAAAAAGTATTTTTGGCCACAGGGCATCACATGATGGTGTAATTACACTCTTTGGACACTATGAACATTTACTTCATAGCCCAGTACACTTCCTGGGGGCCTTGAAACAGACCCAGAGTCAGCAAAAATCTGCTGGATAATGCGTTGGGAGATGAGTAGGTATAGATCTGGGTGCTGTTCAGATGGAGGAAAGTTTACCACAGTTCATTTACACATACTACCCACATTATTATGATACAAAGCTGGTTGAAAATCAGAAGGGTATGCCTTTAGGGATTTTTTCGATGAGACTCCAGAAACTGTATATTTGCTGCTTTTCATTTACAAACCTCCATGATTGGAACAATTAGTGTCTTCAACAAGTGCCTCTGCATAGAACTGAGTATAAGCATTTTTTAATCTGCTCATTTGTTTTTATTCAGACATTTTTGCACATCAGATCAAATCACTTCTGCAGTACAGAGTGTACAATAGTGAAGAATTACAGTTCTTCCTCCCTGCACATTGTGTGGTAGAATAATTGGTCACCCATCAATAAGTCTGTCAGTTTTCAAGAGTATCGCAGGACAATGCTGAGACGCTCCACTTAGATGCAGTGTCCTCCTTTTTTGTACTTGCCATTTTAAGTCGTTTTAGCTCTGCCCTATTTCCTCCCGTTTCTGTTAAATGCTCTTGGAAATAAATCAGGACTTCGTCAGTGATCAATGGAGATGGATATTAAAGGAGACGGAGCAGGAATGTTAGCCCTTTTTGGCAGTCGAGGCATGTGAGCGCATGGCAGTTCTGCCTCTCCAATCATCTGTGGAGAGTTGTCAGAGCCTGGACGGCCATGGTGGGCAGGGTTATTAAGCAGGATGAATGACTAAACAGTCTCTGCAGCTTCATTCAGCCGTCTCATTAGAGTCGACGGTGAGAGACTGCTGTTTCGCAGGGAGCCATTGGGAGGACTATTAGTGATGCCCCCACAGTCATCGTCACTGAGCCCAGCAGGCCCCACAATTTTATCCATAAGACTTGCATCCGCTATATCAGTCCTTTCACACCGTGTCCACACTTATCTTTGACTGTCTCAATTCCCATACCTGCAAGTGTTTCTAGACTTAACTAGCTAATTTGTTCATGCTGTTTTTTAAAGACCCATATTCCTTGGCACGTCTTTAAAAGCATTGCCAGCTCTGATAATAACTTTGATGGAAGCTAATTCATTTTCACTGATCTTCCCTGTAATTAGGCAGTCATGGTGATTGGTCGTTGTTGAATGAAATGTGAACTACATCTCCATCCACCTCCAATCCCTCTGTAGACTACATGGCTAATTCGGGTGATGCCTACAGGGGACAATAGTACTTTGAAGCCTATGCAAATCAACACATTAAAGCATGCAGAGAGTTTTTGTTGCCAAAAACAGGTGTACAGGTGTTTGTCATTTATTAGATTTAGCCAAAGATTTAATCCCTGCAGCTCGCATTTTAATTAAATTCTAGCTCACTTAATGAATTGGCATTTGACTTGATTAAGCACGGAGCAGCTGTGGAAGACAGCTCCCAGTTTTACCACTTCAGGAAAACCACAGATAAGCATTGAAGCTAGCACACAGAACCTGTGTCCCAAAAATCCTCCTGTCAGACATGGAAAGATAAATAGCTACATAATGGGCACAACTGAGCCAGATATGATTTGTTTCCATTCCTCAAGACTGACTGCATCTTTATTAACACTGGCAGACAGTAACGGTAAATGGGTAGGAAATTGAAAGCTGGTTATGCAGGACTACCATAGCTGAAAAAAAAGTCATGTTGTCAATGAGAGCTGTGCTTGCACAGAGGCAGCAATTTAAATATGAAAATGTGCAAATGATGTACCTTCAGTCACAGAGCTGTACAGTGCTGGTGCTGGTACACTAAGCCAGGTTTGCACCAAATCTCTGTGAAAGACACTCTTGGATGATTGTTTCTTTCTGTCTGATATTTTCAGCCTGTGTCTGAGGAATTCCAAAATGGTGAAGGCTTTGGGTATATTGTTGCATTTCGTGCCAATGGAACCAGAGGCTGGAAGGAGAAGATGGTGACCTCTGCGGACTCTACAACGTACAAATACAGAGACGAGACCTTCCCTCCCCTCACCCCATTTGAGGTAAAGGTTGGAGTTTACAACAATAAGGGAGATGGGCCATTCAGCAAAGTCGTCATCATCCACTCTGCTGAGGGGGGTGAGTTAGTCTTTGTGGTTGCATTGATGTTAAAAGTACACCAAAAATAGTTTTTGACCTTTTATGATTGTCACCATTTTGACCTGTCTCACAGAGCCCAGGGAGGCACCATCTGATGTGAAAGCGTACAGTATTTCTTCATCGGAAATTAGAGTCACTTGGAAACCGCCCAATCCTGGACCCGGAAGACCAAGAGGATATGAGGTGCATGTGAATTGCTTTCATTTTTTTGTGTTCACTCATACATTTGCATACAGTATCTGACCTCTGTGTATGAGAGGTTTGAGAACACTATTTTCTCAAAGTCATTCATTTGGTATAACAGGTCAGCTACTGGAAAGACATGGATCAGGAAGAGTCGGGGAAAAAACAAAGAACTGTGAAAAACGAAACGTCCATGGTCTTGACAGGACTAGAGGGCAACAGTCTGTATCTCATCACTGTAAAAGGCTTCAACAGCATCGGCCAGGGTCCTGCCACCACTGCTGTCACAGCCAAGACCAGGAAAGCCCGTGAGTACAGCACTGACACTAATCACGTCATACTATATATGGAATAGAGGCTACCTGTTAAGTTCGCTCCAAATCCCCCTGTAAAAAAACGTAGTAATTGACCTAGTTGGTTGAAACTCTGTTTAAAAGTCAGTTTTAATTTGCACTCAGAGTGTTGTGTTCTCTTCTTAGCTCCTGCTCAACCACCAACCAACCTCATGTGGATTCAGGAGGGCAACAATGTGTCTTTAAGCTGGGACCCAGTGAAGGCAAAAGACAATGAATCTGATGTCATCGGGTATATGGTAATGATTAATCTCTGACGTTATGTTTCTTCAGATTCATAACATTAATACTCATGAAAACATTCATGCAAAGCCTGTAAAAAGCTGCTAGTTCCAGAGGTCTCCTGCATAATTTAACAGTGCTATATATTTATGCTATGGCCATCAGTTCAAATGTATGCATTTATTGCCAATTTAGCAAGAAAACAAGATCTAAATACTGGAACACCCAGTGGCAAATCAGAACTGTGGTGAATTCATGACATTTTATCATCACATTTTTAAACAAAATATCACAAAAATGCTGATGAATTTATCTAACATTGACCTAGAATCCGAAAGGAGAATCAATTTAAAGCACTGAATATATTGTGTGTTAAGTGTTAACCTTAGTTTCAGCTCGCCAATTTCAGCATACGCAAGAAAATCAATCTAAGTGAACATTTTTAACTTAAAATGTCCCCTGGTAATAATAGTTGACTCTTACTAACTTTGACTTTGTATTCAAAGGAACAGTTCACCCCAGAATCAAAAATACTTATTTTTACTTTTACGTGTAGTGCTGTTTATCAGTTTAGATTGTTTTGATGTGAGTTGCTGAATGGTGGAGATATCGGATGTATAGACTCACAAGTCAGTCTTTAGACACTTTGCTTACCCAAAGACTGATGACTTTCTCCCTGATTTTGTGTTTAGATGGGCGGAACCAATAGTAAATCCGCAGGGCGGTCCTTCAGTGGCTCACTGAACTCTTGTGCTCGTAAACATAGTCCAACTAGAAACACGTGTAGCGGTACAAAATGGCTCAAGTCGCTGTAAGTCCTTCATTTC